GGTTAGAATAGAACAATATACTTAATCTTCTTCTTGTTCTGTAAATATATTCTTATAGGTTAGAATAGAACAATGTACTTAATATTCGTCTTGTTCTGTATATATATTCTTATAGGTTAGATAAGAACAATCTACCTAATCTTCTTGTTCTTTATATCCGTTCTTATAGGTTAGAATAGAACAATATACTTAATCTTCTTGTTCTGTATATTCGTTTTTAAAGGTTAGAATAGAACAATGTACTTAATCTTCTTCTCCTTGTTCTGTATATCCGTTCTTTTAGGTTAGAATAGAACAATGTACTTAATATTCGTTTTGTTCTGTATATATATTCTTATAGGTTAGATAAGAACAATCTACCTAATCTTCTTGTTCTTTATATCCGTTCTCATAGGTTAGAATAGAACAATATACTTAATCTTCGTCTTGTTCTGTAAATATATTCTTATAGGTTAGATAAGAACAATCTAGCTAATCTTCTTGTTCTTTATATCCGTTCTTATAGGTTAGAATAAAACAATGTACTTAGTCATCGTCATGTTCTGTATACCCGTTCTTATAGGTTAGAATAGAACAGTATACTTAATCTTCGTCTTGTTCTGTATATATATTCTTATAGGTTAGATAAGAACAATCTACCTAATCTTCTTGTTCTTTATATCCGTTCTTATAGGTTAGAATAGAACAATGTACTTAATCATCGTCTTGTTCTGTATACCCGTTCTTATAGGTTAGAATAGAACAATATACTTAATCTTCATCTTGTTCTGTATATCCGTTCTTATAGGTTAGAGTAGAACAATATACTTTATCTTCTTGTTCTGTATATCCTTTCTGATAGGTTAGATAAGAACAATATCCTTAATCTTCATCAATGGCTGGGTATTGGTAACACATATACATCACCGTCATGATGATGTTATAAAACATCACCCTAAACTAAAAGTATCATTTTATTTTAAACATTCAATTTTTTAGATTAGAAACCACTTGAATTTCTGTAAGACATGGTGTACGCTGCGTACATTGTGAACTCAACACAGCTGATGCGTTACTTATGTCCCTTAATATTACTTAATATTTTACAATAAGAGTGGTTTCCAAATATTTTAAAGAAAGTATTTATTTTCTTTCAATTCTAGAAAATGAATATTAATATTTTTTAACTTAAAACATCGTATATACAATAAATTTAACAAATAAAAGTATTTTTGTAGATTAATGAGCATAATTCCGACAAATTACGCTTACAGTCCCTTTAAAGGTTTAAATATAGATAATTGTCAGAAAAAACAACAACAATGGAATACGTATTAAAACTACTACTCATTCAATGTAGAAATGACACAGAGATGTACTATGAGAGGGCATCTTGCTTTTATTTTCAGAATTAACTAAATGTTTCAATCTGACAAAAGTAAATAAATTTTAAGTGCTTGTTTGAATATATTTTTCTTCAAATAATGATTGCTGCAATATTCTTTACAAAACTCAAAATATTTTTTATCATGCGGAACATTTAATCTTTCGGAATTCTTATTTTTTTTAAGGTTTAAATTAAAGTTTTTTAATCCAAAAACGTAATGATCGGGATTGGAAAACTTGATTTTAAAGCGAAAATAAAAAAAAGAAAAAATGACAAGAAAAAATATATTTTCCGAAATTATAACATAAAACGGTTAGATATATAAATTTATTCAATTCCAGTTCCATAAATATTTGCGTTTTTTATGAAAATTCGCGAAATATAAAAGATAACCTTTTCTGCCGGTAAAAAAGTTACTTATTTGCCTCGGAACAAATAAGGAACTTTTATATCCATGATCATGAAATGCAGGTTTAAAATTCTCTTAAAATGTATATTTAGTAACCAATCTTTGAATTAAGGTCTCTCCAGTCCTAAGATGATAGAAGAGAATATTCAGCTTGGAACTAATGTGTCCGGAGCTAAAATTCCGCAGGGCCCTTTCCTAATCAGGTTAGATTTTTCCAAATCAGTTTAGATTTTTCCTAATCAGATTAAATTTTTCCTAATCAGGTTAGATTTTTCCTAATCAGGTTAAATTTTTCCTAATCAGATTAGATTTTTCCTAATGAGGTTAGATTTTTCCTAATCAGATGAGATTTTTCCTAATCAGGTTAGACTTTTCCTAATCAGATTAGATTTTCCTAATCAGGTTAGATTTTTCCCTATCATCAGGTTAGATTTTTCCTAATCAGGTTAGATTTTTCCTAATCAGATTAGATTTTTCCTAATCAGATTAGATTTTTCCTAATCAGGTTATAATTTTCCTAATCATCAGGTTAGATTTTTCTTAATCAGATTAGATTTTTCCTAATCAGGTTAGATTTTTCCTAATCAGATTAGATTTTTCTAATCAGGTTAGATTTTTCCTAATCAGGTTAGACTTTTCCTAACCAGGTTAGATTTTTCCTAATCAGGTTAGATTTTTCCTAATCAGGTTAGAATTTTCCTAACCAGGTTAGATTTTTCCTAATCAGGTTAGATTTTTCCTAATCAGGTTACATTTTTCCTAATCAGGTTAGATTTTTCCTAATCAGGTTAGAATTTTCCTGATCATCAGGTTAGATTTTTCCTAATCAGGTTAAATTTTTCCTAATCAGGTTACATTTTTCCTAATATTACAATATAACAAGGAAATTTTTTTTATCAAGTTAGATTTTTTTCAGGATTCTTTCCCCTCTGCCTTTTTTAAAGAATTTTTTTTGGTTTATTATTCTGGTAAATTTAAGTTAGTCAAGCTATTTATGATTATAATATAATGATGTGTATTGAGTATTTATGTTAAATAAACTGTTTACTAATAATCTAAAAAACCATAATTTACATATATTAAATTACAGATTATTACAATGAAAAAATTGTTTAAGAATTTTTATCAGCTTAAATATAGACGGACAGGTTTTTCAGCTTCTCTTATTATTGACATAATTGCATAATATCATGTTTGTTTCTTTTCAGCTTCTCATATTAATGACATAATTGAATAATATCATGTTTGTTTCTTTTCAGCTTCTCATATTAATGACATAATTGAATAATATCATGTTTGTTTCTTTTCAGCTTCTCATATTAATGACATAATTGCATAATATCATGTTTGTTTCTTTTCAGCTTCTCATATTATTGACATAAATGAATAATATCATGTTTGTTTCTGTTATTTTTCCTTCTCCTGTTCCAACTTGTTTTGCGAACAAACTTAGATCAAGATGTATCCCTTCCTTTGCACCCATTTAAGATAATACCATCTCAATTTTATATTTACTTAGCTTTGTTTCATACATCCACCCCTCCCATCCCCCCTTACAATGAAAAATAAAAAGATTAATACATAAAAAGTGTGTTCAACAATTTTTTAAAAGTTTCCAAAACAGATATTTTTTATTTCTTACCCTCTTTCTCTTAATGGGAGTGTTCGCTCACTCCCTTTAAAGAGTTGGAAATATGGCATGGAAATGTTTTTGCAGTTTTGGGGTGATCATACATCTGTTCAGATCAAGGTTGTATAATAAGGTTGATTACTCTCGGTGTGCTCCAATGTATGGAAAATGTCATCTCCTAAGATAGATAGAAAATAACTCATATGACGTCACTCTCGCCTCTATAATCAGTGACGTCATATGAGTTTTTACCTATATTAGGAGACGACATTTTCCGTATATTAGAGAGAATTGAGAGTAACCAACCTTATTATACAACCTTGATTTAGATCTATAACTAAGCAGATTTCATAATATATCTGTTTAGATCTATAACTGAGCAGATACAACCAGCAGGTTTAATAATATATCTGTTTAGATCTATAGCTGAGCAGATACAACCAGCAGGTTTAATAATATATCTGTTTATATCTATAGCTGAGCAGATACAACCAGCAGGTTTAATAATATATCTGTTTAGATCTCCTAGACTGAGCAGATACAACCAGCAGGTTTAATAATATATCTGTTTAGATCTCCTAGACTGAGCAGATACAACCAGCAGGTTTAATAATATATCTGTTTAGATCTCCTAGACTGAGCAGATACAACCAGCAGGTTTAATAATATATCTGTTTAGATCTCCTAGACTGAGCAGATACAACCAGCAGGTTTAATAATATATCTGTTTAGATTTCCTAGACTGAGCAGATACAACCAGCAGGTTTAATAATATATCTGTTTAGATCTCCTAGACTGAGCAGATACAACCAGCAGGTTTGGATGTCTCTCCGGGTTCTGATAGAGAACAAGGAGAAGGAAGCATTCAACAAGGAACAATGTTTTTAATTATTACATAAAATAGCACTTAGATGTATGTATGTATACAAAAATATCAATGAAGTGCCTATCGAATAAGAAAGTATTTCTGTGGGACTTGGTAAAGCTCCGGGTGGGGGGGGGGAATAGATATCTATATATATATTCGTTCATTTATTTCAATGTTTATTAAGACACAAGGAATAATTCAGATCTAGCATGACAGTCTCGGATTAGTGCTATATACCTGCAATAAAAGAAGGTTATGGTTTTGAGAGAACTACGTACTGCAGTCCTTCTGATACTGATACAGTTATAAACAGATTTAAACTACAAAAGTTTTGAGTCCATGCAGGCATTATTTTTATCAAATATTCGTTTGATCTGAGCAATATAGAGCCGGATATTTAAAAGAGTATCGTTGAACGGATCTACCGAGTTTCCTTTTTAATTTAAGAATACAAAAAAGAATGTAAAGATTCTTGAAAAAAACTGCATAAAATAATATTTCTTGACAAAAATATTCGAATCTACAAAACTGCCTGACTCAATTCATGAAACCTGAGATGGAATTTAAAGAATTTGATCCGCGGTTTAAATCCGCCAAAACCCGGTTTAAATTTAGCGCCGGCTTAAATCTTGAAACATTTGATACAATTTTAAGTGGAACCAACCATATTTAAACCACGGCTTAAATTTAAACCGCCGCTCAAATTCTTTAAATTCGGCCACTGCTTTCCGATACTGGGTTTCAATACGATGCTCTGTCTTAAGTTTCGGGCTCTGGGTTCTTCAGCTATTTGAATTAAGGTCCAAGAACCAAATCACCGTGCCCTTTAACATCTGTATTTTTTATATGAACCAATCATTTAATTGAGAGTTTGAGACATGAATTAATTGCTTGCATGATAAAGTGACACTGCAGTATTAATGGCTTGTTAAGAAATAATTTCATCTCCATCAAAGTTATTATGTTTTCAAGAATTTGGTCTAGCTAAAGATGTTCAATTGGTTCTTAGAATATGCCTCATTATATCATTTTTTGTTGTTAAAAAATAAATTATGGAAAATATCAACCTGATCTCTGTGCGTGGGTTTAATCACAAAATCTTGATTGGGGGGAAATTATATTTAAGGGATGCAGTATGATTAAATCCAGGGGCTGGCAATGTACGCTTTAATACATATAAAATGTAAGATGTAAATTGATAAATCAAAGAACTGTAATTATGCAAGGAAAAAAGAGTACATTTAAGCCGACTATGGATGCTTGAATAACCTTAATCTTGTGATATATGGACTTCATATAAGATCGTTTAAAGCTCTAAATTGAAAATTAAAAAAGAATGAATCATTCAGAAAAAATGTATTAGGCTAATATAAAAATGTTCTTGCAGAAAATACCAGGTTTTGCGAGTATTCTGTGCGTTTTTTGCCGTTATAGATTTGAAATTATCAAATATGATATGGAACGCTCTTTAGCTCAGTATTTAGGGTTCCCAATCGTGGCGTTTTCTTAGTTTTTTGGTGTTTTTTAGCGCTGCAGGGTAACATTTTGTTTCAAGGTTGCAACCTGGTGTTTTTCTAAACCAAGGATTTAGATTTTTCCCTAGATGTAATTTGGAGAATCCAGAGTCGACTGTAATGAATTCATTTTGTCCTATTTCATAGATTACTCGTATATGCAGATGCACGCTTAGTTCTATTCTTGCCAGATCCTTAATTAACTGATTATATAATTCATATCATTATATCTTCATAGTTGTAGGTCGTTATTGCAGTCTCATTATTTGTGGGTAACCCTGTATAACCCATGAATGTTAACAAAAATCACTTAAACTGGGATTAACTTTAAAAAGTTTAAAGCTTAAAAAAATTATTAATTGTAGAATTTTACTGTTCTTCTCTCGGTACGCGGACTCAGTGCTGTTTCCAAGGTAAGCGCCTATATGTCTCCCAAATTCTACGGATTCGGATTTTATTTTTAATTATTTTTTTTTTATTCAGAGATTTAAAGCAGGTGTTTTTATAAAAATGTATAAAGCAGATTTTTTAAATCCATTTTTTAATGTAAATGTACAGCAGGTGTTTACAATCTATTTGTATATATCCTTGCTAGCAGGTGTTTACAATCTATTTGTAATGTAAATGTACAGCAGGTGTTTACAATCTATTTCTAATGCATATGTACAGCAGGTGTTTACAATCTATTTCTAATGTAAATGTACAGCAGGTGTTTACAATCTATTTGTAATGTAAATGTACAGCAGGTGTTTACAATCTATTTGTAATGTAAATGTACAGCAGGTGTTTACAATATATTTTTAATGTAAATGTACAGCAGGTGTTTACAATCCATTTCTATTGCATATGTACAGCAGGTGTTTACAATCTATTTCTAATGTAAATTTACAGCAGGTGTTTACAATCTATTTCTAATGTAAATGTACAGCAGGTGTTTACAATCTATTTCTAATGTAAATGTACAGCAGGCAGAACCGGTTGGGAAGCTGTGGCACAATAGAACTCGTAATATTGAGTGTTCAGGTAACTGTAAATTAATGAGCAGTCTTTGAAAGTTTAAAGCTTATGAAAAGTAGTTTAAATAAAACGTTTAACTTCTCTAGGGTAGAAAATACTAAACAACTGAGAATAGATTAGAATAATTGAAAAGAAATGAGAAGAAATATGAATAATAGAGCGTGAGTGAAAATAGATGAGTAGAAATGAGTACTAAAGAGCAAAAATGAGACAAAAGAGCATATATGAGAAAATAAAAGAGTGAAAATGAAAATAATTGAGGAGAAATGAGAAGAAATGGCAGGAAATTAGAAGAAATGTAAAGAAATAACAAGAAATATAAAAATGAGAAGAAATGAGAAATAAATTATACGTCAATATCCTCTGTATATTAAAGTATATTTAAATGCTTATTTGCTGAGTCATATTCTAAAAGGTTGCAAGAATAGTTATGTAGAGAAAAACAATATAAATGTTTCATTATTAAATACAAAATTGTCATATTTGTTAGTAAAACTTTATAACTTTGTCCTAGAAGCACAGTGTAAGGACCTAATAGCTCTACATCTTGGATACCTGTCCTACAATATGTATCTTGTAAACATATCTTTGGCAGGTACACAATATAAAATATGTATCTTGTAATCATATCTTTGGCAGGTATACACTATACAATATGTATCTTGTAAATTTATCTTTGGAAAGTACACACTATACAATATGTATCTTGTAGACATATCTTTGGCAGGTTTAAACTATACAATATGTATATTGTAAACATATCTTTGGCAGGTACACACTATACAATATGTATCTTGTAAACATATCTTTGGCAGGTACACACTATATAATATGTATCTTGTAGACATATCTTTGGCAGGTATACACTATATAATATGTATCTTGTAGACATATCTTTGGCAGGTATACACTATACAATAACATATCTTTGGCAGGTATACACTATACAATATGTATTTTGTAAACCTATCTTGGGCATGTACACACACTATACAATATGTATCTTGTAAACATATCTTTGGCAGTCACACACTATGCAATATGTATCTTGTAAACATAGCTTTGGCAGGTATACACTATACAATATGTATCTAGTAAACATATCTTTGGCAGGTATACACTATACAATATGTGTCTAGTAAACATATCTTTGGCAGGTATACACTATACGATATGTATCTTGTAAACATATCTTTGGCGTACACACTATACAATATGTATCTTTTAAACATATCTTTGGCAGGTATACACTATACAATATGTATCTTGTAAACATATCTTTGGCAGGTATATACTATGCAATATGTATCTTGTAAACATATCATTGGCAGGTTTACAATATACAATATGTATTTTGTAAACATATCTTTGGCAGGTACACACTATACAATATGTATCTTGTAAATATATCTTTGGCAGGTACACAATATAAAATATATATCTTGTAAACATATCTTTGGCAGGTATACACTAAACAATACGTATCTTGTAAACATATCGTTAGCAGGTTCACAATATACAATATGTATCTTGTAAACATATCTTTGACAGGTTTACACTATACAATATGTATCTTGTAAACATATCTTTAGCAGGTTTACACTATACAATATGTAGACTGTAGAGTGTAACCCATAAAACTGTGGAATAGAAAGACGACTGTTAGACCCAATTCACTGAATAAGTTGATTTTTAAACTTCTGGTAAAACTATTTGCAAATACACATAATATTGCTTAACATTTGTCTTCATATCTGACTGTTCTATATAGGTCTTACATCATCTTCTAAGCATATCTCTGGTAGGTACAAACTGTAATGGCATATTTGCAACAATATGTATACAGGGTTACCCCACAAGGGATGAGATTTTGAAAACGACTCTTCTTACAATTCTGTTCACTGGAACTCAAAACTTGTTTTTTTCTTGTTGATTTATCGTTCGATTAATCATGTGCTACTGTTCAAGACTATAAACCAAATTCAACCATCAGATTGTTATATTTAATGTATCTTCGGCCGCCATTTATGTTTCTTCTTTGTTATCAACCCTGTATACTGAAAAGAATTTATTTTGTTTAGGATTAAAGCATATCCATGAAAGCTATAAAATCAAGGATATTCTCTTTATATGGAGTTCCATCAACCCAGCCTTCACACAGTTGGAGGTATTATTTATAACTACCATGATAAAAATAATACAATAATTTGAAGAATAATATCAAATCTATTAATATCTATATCAAAAAAGGTTTCAATATTTTTAAAAACAATTTTTAAGATAATAATTGATCCTAAAAACTTATACTTTAAGTTAACTTAGTAAGAAGAACCCATTTTAAAGTAATTTAAAAAAACAGAAATCATTATGTTGTAAACATTTTAATCCCTAGACCAAATGAATCCTAAGGAATTTGTCCACAACACTGCATACTCAGTTTAACTACCTTACATAGCCGGTCTGTCCCTTTAATGGGATTCCATCCTTTAAAATTAATCAGCAGTCTCTTCAATAAGAAATTGCTCTCACAATTATGAATCATGAATAAAGCTGTTAAAACATCTTAATTAAAAATTATGAGATAAAAAATTTCGAGGTTTATCTCTTAAGGAAAAAAAAGTTCCGAACTCACTTTCTGGTGAAAATTATTTTTTTAAGGTTTCGCGTCCGGGATTAAAGAATCCTGATAATGTTCGACCTCCTCCCCTGATATTATTCGACCTCCTCCCCTGATATTATTCAACCTCCTCCCCTGATATTATTCAACCTCCTCCCCTGATATTATTCAACCTCCTCCCCTGATATTATTCAACCTCCTCCCCTGATATTTCTCTACTTAAAATCCGTTTAATTTGAAAGATGAGTTTCTCTAAGTTAAAAAGAAATTGGGCCGTAAGGGCAGTGCTAGTGAATATCTTAATATTTAAACAAATTGTATTTAATGTTTTAAAGTACAGAGCGTCCCATATCATATTAGATCATCTCCAATACGCACATAATACTCGATCGAAAAATCTAGCATTTTCTGCAAAAAAAAAATTTCTAGTAGCCTTATTAAATTTTAAATATGATTCATTCTTCTTAAATTATCTGATTTGTCCTCCAAACTGTAATTTAGACCCATTGACGCGGTCTAATTTGATGTGAGACACCCTGTATAAATATAGGTTTGAACTTGAAGTATAAAATTTCTAAAACTATGAATATTTTTCAATGTCAGTCAGCAAACTGGGTTTTTCATAAAACTTAAAAAAACGCTGATAAACTTGTTTTTGCTAAATTTTTACAAATAAATGTTATGTTTTAAAGGGTTTTCGCCCCCTTCTTTTTAACAGTATGTGTATGAGTAAAAACAAGTGCTGCCTCCGTCTTATCTAAAACTGTGTTTAGGTCGTCTTTAGATTCTTCTTCCTGCTGCTGAGCTTCCTTGTATTCCTTGTGTTTGGATCACAAATCAAAAAATATCCCCTTAGAGTAAGTTTTTAATAACTTTTTCCCAAAAGATTGCTTATCGAAGACGACATTTACATTTATACTCACAGGGCCAAGACTGAGAGTGTAATAAACAACTCAATTTTTTTAAAATAAGCCAAAACGACTAGTTTTAATTTTAAAAAAATAATGAAAATTTTCTACAAAGGAAATCTCTGCTCAATTCGCTCGATACTAATCTATTGAATCCTACCAAAAATTCGTAGATTTGTATGTTTCTACTTTTATTGGCTCATTATATGTATAATCCATTATTACTATAGAACTGAAGTATGAAGCTGGATTTGTATACTGCTCCTTCTATATATTATCCATTATTACTATAGAACTGGAGTATGGAGCAAAGCTGGATTTGTATACTGCTCCTTCTATAATCCATTATTGCTAAAGAACTTGAGTATGGAGCAAAGCTGGATTTTTATACTGCTCCTTCTATATACTATCCATTATTACTGTAAATCTGGAGTATGGATCAAAGATGAATTTGTATAATGTTCCTTCTGTAATCCATTATTACTACAGAACTGGAGTATGGAGCAAAGCTGGATTTGTATGCCGCTCCTTCTATAATCCATTATTACTACAGAATTGGATTATGGAGCTAAGCTGGATTTTTATACTGCTCCTTTTATAATTCATTATTGCTATAGGACTGGAGTATGGAGCAAAAGCTGGATTTGTATACTGCTCCTTCTATAATCCATTATTGCTATAGAACTGGAGTATGGAGCAAAAGCTGGATTTGTATACTGCTCCTTCTATATATTATCCATTATTGCTATTGCACTGGATTATGGAGCAAAGATGGATTTTTATACTGCTTCTTCTATATTACTATAGAACTGGAGTATGGAGCAAAGCTGGATTTGTATACTGCCCCTTCTATAGACTATAATCCATTAATGCTAAAGAACTGGAGTATGGAGCAAAGATGGATTTGTATACTGCTCCTTCTATTATCCATTATTCCTGTAGAACTGGAATACGGAGCAAAGAGGAATTTGTATACTGCTGCTCCTTCTATAATCCATTATTACTAAAGAACTGGAGTATGGAGCAAAGATGGATTTGTATACTGTTCCTTCTATAATCCACTAAAGAACTGGAGTATGGAGCAAAGATGGATTTGTATACTGTTCCTTCTATAATCCATTATTGCTGTAGGACTGGAGTATGGAGCAAAGCTGGATTTGTATACTGCTCCTTCTATAGACTATAATCCATTATTAATATAGGACTGGAGTATGGAGCAAAGATGGATTTGTTTGCTGCTCCTTCTATTGGCTCTCTATAATAATCCCTTATTCCCGTTGACATTCACCTCACTGACCCTGCTGGTAAAATAAATAAAATAAATCTTGTAAAATATGAGAAACAGGAAGAACCAATTCATTGTTTTTAGTCTGGAATTCTTGACGCTATCTTCCAATCAACATTTCTCTTCTCTCTTCTACTATTCTGGCTTTGCGCTATTCATGGGCTTAGACAAACACACAGGTAGACAGATTAGACAGGCACACAGGTAGACAGATTAGACAGACATACAGGTAGACAAATTAAACGTAAGGAATAGACAAACACACAGGTATACAGATTAGACATATTAGACAGACGCACAGGTATACAGATTTGACACATTTGATATACCGATTAGACAGACAGACATGCATGAAAATTAGACAGATTAGACAACCACAGAGGTAGACAGATTAGACATATTAGAAAAATACACAGCTTAGACAACTATACAGATTAAACAGATACACAGGTAGACAGCTAAATAGATTGGAGAGATACAGAGTACACACAGAGGAACGTATTCGTATTTATTCTAGGAACCTCAAGTTCTACTTACCAAAACTAGTCCTTGTATTCACCATGTGGTTGGCAGCCCTTACCATGGAGGTCACACAGGAGGTCAATCAGGTTAAAGAAAATTCAATCTGGCTAGATAGAAGTCATTGAAGTTTTGATGTAGGTCGCTTATGTGTAATTGAGGTCAATTAGGGTGAGAGTAAGGTCAATAAGGGTAAAGGAGTAAAGTCAATAAGGGTGAGAGTAAGGTCAATAAGGGTGAGAGCAAAGCCAATAAGGGTGAGAGTAAGGTCAATTAGGGTGAGAGTAAGGTCAATAAGGGTGAGAGTAAGGTCAATAAGGGTAGGAGGCAGATCAATTAGGGTGAGAGGAAGGTCAATAAGGGTGAGAGTAAGGTCAATAAGGGTAGGAGGCAGATCAATTAGGGTGAGAGTAAGGTCAATAAGGGTGAGAGTAAGGTCAATAAGGGTAGGAGGCAGATCAATTAGGGTGAGAGGAAGGTCTTAGAAGGGTGAGAGTAAGGTCAATAAGGGTAAAAGGAAGGTCAATAAGGGTGAGAGTAAGGTCAATAAGGGTAAAAGGAAGGTCAATAAGGGTGAGAGGAAGGTCAAGAAGGGTAAGAGGAGGGTCAATAAGGGTGAGAGGAGGGTCAATCAGGGTGAGAGGAAGGTCAATAATAATAAGGTCATTACATGTAATTAACTAAGGTTCGTGATCCGACCTACAGCATTCATTACATGTTATTAATTAAGGTTTATGATCCGACCTACAGCAATCATTACATGTTATTAATTAAGGTTCATGATCTGACCTACAGCAATCATTACATGTAATTAACTAAGGTTCGTGATCCGACCTACAGCATTCATTACATGTTATTAATTTAGGTTCGTGATCCGACCTACAGCAATCCTTACATGTTGTTAATATAGGTTCGTGATCCGACCTACAGCAATCATTACATGTAATTAATTTAGGTTCGTGATCCGACCTACAGCAATCATTACATGTTATTAATTTAGTTTCATGATCCGACCTACACCAATCATTACATGTTATTAATTAAGGTTCATGATCCGACCTACAGCAATCATTACATGTTATTAATTCATGATCCGACCTACAGCAATCATTACATGTTATTAATTAAGGTTCATGATCCGACCTACAGCAATCATTACATGTTATTAATTAAGGTTCATGATCCGACCTACAGCAATCATTACATGTTATTAATTAAGGTTCATGATCCGACCTACAGCAATCATTACATGTTATTAATTAAGGTTCGTGATCCGACCTATAGCTACCAGATCAACTCCTCCCACTACACCAGGTTCCAGACCCTCTTCATCCTCCTCCTCTTCATCTACGTTCTCTACGCTATATTCCTTGTCGTTAAGGTTCGACACTTATTAAGATGGAAATCCTTCGTAATTTCAATATTTTATTTAAATGATCAGATTATCAGAAATACTACGATAAAAATAAAGATAATTAAATAATTAAAATGGAAATAATTTGTATTTTGAATGATATAATTAGATTATCTAAATAATCAGATAATCAGAGAAGTTCCATAGAAATAATTACAAAATAAAACGGATTCCAAGTATTCGTTAAATCTTTCAATTAGAAACGTCATGAAGTATAACTGATGATTCGCTTTAAATTAAAGTTCTTACTGTAAACTCTGACAAACCATATTATTACTGTAAACTCTGCTAAACCGAATACTCAAAGTTGAAAATATCAAAAGTTTTATACCATCAGGTTTCAAATTTTCAAAATTTCAGCTCCTTAAAAACATGAGAGACGTTTCTTATTTTGAAACTTTTAAGTTTTTACTCTGTACAATGATTTGTTTGCAATGATCAAATAATCATAAAGGAATTGAGTCTTTGCCACAAACATTGATTTTCTTATTCCTTCCTCGATATAATCTAATGTCATAGATGTAAGATATTTCAAACTTTGTCTTATTTCGGATTAAATGATCTAAGTTTTAAATATTAAAAAGTTTACACTATCAGGTTGCAAAGATATAGAGCTTATAACATTTGAGACTGTAACAAAGACTCAATATCTTTGAATGTTAAATGAATTTAAGAAATTTTAAGATTACTTTTTTTTTGTAATTTGCAGGCGTTTACTGAGCTTAGGTCCATGCAGTTTATTCAGACCCGGCTGAGGTTTATTACAGGGTTCATCGTGATCATCGTCACCTTGTCCACTGGCATCGTTTATACAAAGTTCGGAACAGGAATACTAGAGGTCAGTCACACCCTCGTAAAGCTACAACTAAGTTCATCTTCTCACTGTCGGCTAGGGACACTTTGAATTCGAACCGGACCGGCTCCTTGTACAGCCTTAGTGACGCGCGGCAATTACCGGCCCGACCCTATCCTATTCCGGCTCGATTTCAATTATGATGGGGCGGCCAGACTTTTTACAGTACCCGGCCTATCATAGGTATATTTGACCTAACCCACTTAATGTGTGCTCTCGAACTTTTCAGTCATATTTTAATATCTCATTTTATATCCTTCAAAAATACCGTAAGATACAGGGTGTCCCACATCATAATAGATCGCTAATCGGTCAAAATCATGATTTTCGGGACTAATCAGATAATTTAAGAAGAATGAATCATTTTGAAAAATTGAAAAAGGCTAATAAAAGAATTCTCTTGAGAAAAATGCTAGGTTTTTCGAGTATCATGGGTTTATTTTGGCGTTAAAACTTGGAGATAATCTAATATGATATAGGACGCTCTGTATTAAAAATGCATCATAATTAAATGATCCCAAATGACAATATACAATTACATCATCCGTTCCACCTTCAAACCATCTTGAATTATAATAAAAAAGCATCATTTTTACTTTCATATAAACATGCATCATAACATAAAGATATAGCATCATGCATCATTATAAAAGATGCATCAACAGTTACACTTTTATTTAATCATGCATCACAATATAAAGATATAGCATCATGCATCATTTTAAAAGATGCATCATCAGTTACACTTTAACTGAATCATGCATCATAATATAAAGATATAGCATCATGCATCATTTTAAAAGATGGGTCATCAGTTACACTTTAACTGAATCATACATCATAATATAAAGATATAATGCATCATTTTAAAAGATGCATCATCAGTTACACTTTAACTGAATCATGCATCATAATATAAAGATATAGCATCATGCATCATTTTAAAAGATGGGTCATCAGTTACACTTTAACTGAATCATACATCATAATATAAAGATATAGCATCATGCATCATTTTAAAAGATGCGTCATCAGTTACACTTTAACTGAATCATGCATCATAATATAAAGATATAGCATCATACATCATTATAAAAGATGCGTCATCAGTTACACTTTAACTGAATCATGCATGATTATATCAGTTACATCGGTTACATCTTCATTGCATCATGCATCTAACTAAGTTTATGTAAATATATTTTCTAATATTCTAGGACAACTTTATCTCTCGCATGTACACATCTCAGAACTCCATCATACAGTTCGTAGCGTCCTACGCCGTGCTCAACCTGTACGTGTACATGATGGCGTACATGTACAGTCCCTGCGGCCAAGCCATCCCCAGCAACAACATCATGATGGGGGAGAGTGATGAAGAGGTTCTCTACGGAGATTCGGAGGCCAGGAAACCTCTGAATAGTGCGATAGAGGACGAGGACAGTGATTAAACTGACAATTCAGCGGAGTATACAAGGGGACCTGGGGGTATACCTCCTAGAATTTAATCTTAAAGGGACTATTTAAGGGGACCTGGGGTATACCTCTTAGCATTTAAACTTAAAAGGACTATTCAAGGGGACTTGGGTGTAAACTGTATACCTCCAAGAATTTAATCTTAAAGGGACTATTCAAGGGGACCTGGGGGTATAACTTCTAGAATTTAATCTTAAAGGGAGTATACAAGGGGACCTGGGGGGTATACCTCCTAGAATTTAATCTTAAAGGAAGTATACAAGTATACTTTTATCTCAAGTCGTGTTTATGTACTGTTATAATCTGTAAAAGATAATTATTCAGAAACCCGGCCCATCCTCGTTTACTAAAAACTTAAAATCAACAACATAATATGTCTGTATTCCTGCAAATCCTGAGATGTGCTGTATTCCTGTAAACTCTGATATGTCTGTATTCCTGTAAACCCTGATATGTCTGTATTCCTGTAAACCCTGAGATGTCTGTATTGCTGTAAACCCTGATATTCTGTATTCCTGTAAACCCTGAGATGTCTGTATTCCTGTAAACCCTGAGATGTATGTATTCCTGTAAACACTGAGATGTATGTATTCCTGTAAACCCTGATATGTCTGTATTCCTGTAAACCCTGATATGTCTGTATTCCTGGAAAACCTGAGATATAAGTATTCTTGTGAACCCTGATATTTCTGTTTTCCTGTAAACCCTGAGATGTCTGTATTCCTGTAAACCCTGAGATGTCTGTATTCCTGTAAACCCTGAGATGTCTTTATTCCTGTAAACCCTGAGATGTCTGTATTCCTGTAAACCCTGAGATGTCTGTATTCCTGTAAACCCTGAGATGTCTGTATTCCTGAAAACCCTGAGATGTATGTATTCCTGTAAACCCTGAGATGTATGTATTCCTGTAAACCATGAGATGTCTGTATTCATGTAAACCCTGAGATGTATGTATTCCTGTAAACCCTGATATGTATGTATTCTTGTAAACCATGAGATGTCTGTATTCCTGTAAACCTTGAGACGTATATGTAATATGTATATCTCTGTAATTTGTGACGTGCATATAAATAGAATTAGAAGAAACATACGTGCATTTCTCTATGTATGTATGCATGAATGTATGTATTTATGTATGTATGTAATACATGTATATAGTACAGATCTAAGGTTTATTTATATACTGAACTGAACAGTAAAAACCACAAATGTATTAATTGTATTTAATGTTCTGTAACGCCAAAATATTACTCATTTATGGACTCATTAATGAATAAAATGTTATTATAATTTAAAGCGATCTGAAGGTTGAATTTGGGTGCCTTAAATACAGTCTTAATTTACCCAACGATTTGGAAAATAAAGAAATAAAGGATTTATCAAAAACCCAAAGTTTTATTAACTATTTACTGTACTGCAACTCCAAATACGTTTTTTTATTGACAACAGAGGGCGAAATTTTTGAACCTTATATCTGTGCCTTCAGCGCTCAGTCGTTTAAATTCCTCTTTGGCGATTTATTGTGGATTTATCCTTAACTATGATACTTTGATACTTTGTATAAGATTAAGTCTCACTCTTAAGTGTCTTCATTAATTCCCAGATATAAAATTTGTAAAATTTGAATTTAATGCTTGTGCTTAGAATATTAAATTAAGTCTCGCTGAGGCTTAGCGCAATTCCAACTAAAAGTTTTGCCCTCAAAATATCCAGTAATATTAAAAATGGCATACAATTAACATACAACCATCGTTAAAAAATCTAATTATTAATTTCCGATTTGATTTACCTTATACAAGATTAATAATAAAACTAATCAAAATCGTTACAATTCGGAAAGTTCTATAAAATGTTTGCAGATTATTTTTAGAAAAATACTTTATCCGTGTTAAGGTTTTTTTTTGAGAATGTTGGAAATGTCCAAAACTGTTATTTTTATTTGAAAAAGACAATTCAATCTGCGCATCAGTTTATGTAAAATGTATAAAAAAATTGTAAAACCAAGTAAAAAAAATATATGTTTCATTGTAATTAAACGTCACTGACCTGGAAACAGTATCATTGTACCAAAGTATTTTTTTTAAATGCCGGAACAATCCCTAAAAGTAAAACAAAAATCAACATTTGTTTGCGGTTTCAGAATTTAACCTTATAGGAGACGTAAAACAGTTTCTGTGAAGGGGGGGGGGGATTTTAACCCAACCTTATCCCGCCCCTGTTTTTATGTAACCCAAACCTTTCTATTTGAAGAAATAAGCATTGGATGATTGATAAATCGAAAAAGTAGTAATTGAAAAATCCTTAAACATTGGGTTGTAGGGTTTTATCTGTTGAGGTCGGTCTCTAGATTGGATTCCAGGAGAATGCAGTTTTATGCACTACTGGACTAGAGAAACAAAATGCATTTTCTGGATTAAAAATTTACAAGTTTAGGTAACAAAGGAGCCGTGCTCCAGGGTGCAGTTTAGTTGATAGAGAAGATAGATAAGGTGAAGGACAAACTATTCAAATATGATTAACCCATAGTCAATACCATCTCCTTATAGACGCAACAGATAGAAGTAAGATTAGTAGCGATCAAAAGCGCTTTTTTATCGCATTAAGCCTATACCCCCTTTCATTTTTCGCAAACACTCCCTTTAATCGGCACTATCAGTAAATGGAAATATTTACTTCTACTGAAACCATAGTGATCAGATCCTAGCCAATATATATTTCTTGCATGTTATTTGTCCATCTTAGACTGAGAGGTTCAGCAAGATGCCCAAAACAACCTGAACCGATGAGTTCGGCAACTTATCGGAGAATAATGTTCAAAATTGCCAAATACAAGATGTAGTCAAATAAGAACGAATACATAGATTAGGAGAATAATTATAACTTCTATCAATAATATGTATCGTACTGTGATCAAATCTCATATTTTGATAAGTTGAGATTTCTGAAATATACCCGGCCATGCACCACCCTGAAGCGATCTGATCAAAAATTGGGATATTTTCATTTTAGACGTTTTTTTACATTTAGAAAATCAACTAGATCTTATTGTGTTGGGATGAATCATTGATCTCCATCTTTACACTTGTTTAAATCTTATTTAGAATCCACACGGTTGTTTAAATTTTATTTAGCATCCACACGCGTGTTTAAATCTTATTTAGCATCCACACGCTTGTTTAAATCTTATTTAGCATCCACACGCTTGTTTAAATCTTATTTAGCATCCACACGCTTGTTTAAATCTTATTTAGCCTCCACAAGCGTGTTTCTTATTTAGCATCCACACGCTTGTTTAAATCTTATTCAGCATCCACACGCTTGTTTAAATCTTATTTAGCATCCACACGCTTGTTTAAATCTTATAAAGCATCCACACGCTTGTTTAAATCTTATTCAGCATCCACATGCTTGTGTAAATCTTATAAAGATACAAAATATTTACACCAAACAATAGAAATATATCACTCTTTTGTTTCTTCTATTATTAAAAGGTATTAAATTATAGAAAAAATATTTTAATAAAAAAGTTTAAATGTAGCTTTTTGTCAAAATTAATTGATGTTTGTGTATTCCAGATTTAATACTAAAATAGATTTAGAATTGTTGCAAAGAAATTCAGCAGTGGTTTTTGGGAAACTAAATTTTTTATAAAGCAAATCTATAAAAATACATAGAATCAATTCATCTATCGAATATCGTCTTCTATTCAGTTTTTTACACTACAGTGAAAACCATCAAACTCTTGAATAGGAAGACGACTTTTAGACTCAAGTTATGACTTTTAATAGTCCATTGAACATGAGACACAGTAGTTGAGCAATGTAAACAGACCCATTTTAATTAATAAGTGATTGTAAAGAAAAGTTAAGTTGGATAAGACCAGCTTTTTAGGTAAAACAAGAATTAGTTAAATCCCATAGACAAAGCTAATCCGCTTCTTTTGTGCGTTAGGTCAAGATAAAGAGAAGTAGTTCAATAGTTAACACAGTTTATTTGTGTTCGCTATTCATTAAATATGGCCTCAGGGAATTTGATTTATTTTTTCTCTTTTTTATTCATTTTTTATTTTTTAATCATTATCTAAATATATGAAATATATACTATTTGCACAATTTTTAAACAAAGAAAAGAAAGATTACGAAAGAAAAACTTTACTCTTACTCTTTTTCCTCTTGCTTTGTGTATAGCTTTTATTTAACATTTAACAAATACTTGAACCATCGTTTTTTATATTTGTAAATTTGTAATTATTATTATATTTCCATCTATATCGAGGTCTCATGCTTGGTTTGGATTCTTATATCTCTAAACCATGAAACCTCATGACAGATTGTCTGATGCAAACCATCTGCAGGAGACGGACTGATTCCGGAGTATCCGGGTTCAGTTTCTCCAGAGAGAGAGATGACCCTAGATCATAAACCTCTAGGAGGGGGATGTGTGAAAGTGTTTACAGAGGAAAGATACGCATTCTGTAATGTAGAGCAAACCTATCATGCAATTCGTACATGAGTTTCAATACCATACTCACACGAACACACTCACACGCACACACACAAACACTAGAATACTCCAGCCCTCCTGCCCGCTGTAGAAAGGAGAGATGGTTGTACAGACAGAAATATTTGTGGTAGAATGGTTGGTGGTTGAGTGAGGTTAGAGGCTGCAGAGGACAGGTATACAGACAGCCTCACTACTCTCACTACGTATCGATCCTCTATCCAGGGCAGTGTCTCAGTGATAAACCTGCGTTACTAGAGTGTGGCAGAGGCGTGGCTGTGTGGGTGCGGATACGTGTGAGCGATGGATAACAGGGCGGAGACACTCCTCTGTATCATCAGGTACCTAGAGCTAATATTGAACCTAATTTTGATTTTTTCTTGTTGAGGTTCTCAGGGTATAATTTAGAGTAGTAGTGAGTACACTGTACACAAGAACACAATATTTTGATGGAATTAGGCTAAACTTATCCATTAGCTCCAGAACCCAGGAGACTCAATCTAATCTATTCGTGTACAGTTCCGTACATAAACATACAGTACACCAATCTACTAGAGAGGAGTATTGTATATACATACAGAGCTGAAAACTTTAGAATGGTGGATATCGGGATTAAGGTTTAATCCTCTTTTTTCTTAATCTGCAGATTAAATATTGCTTGTTCTCCACTCATTTTTAATCTCCAGATTAATTATCCGATCAGGATTAAGGATATCCCATTCAAAAGTTCCCATCTCAGGACAGAATTTATTTCCCACGTGATCTAAAGTCATATTTCTGTGTCTATCTCTATGTTCAAAATTTTACTGTATATTAAACGATAAGAAAAGGTTAAAGTAGAATAGCATATATCTAAACTTTACACAAAAAATCGGTTATACGGTGTGTATGTTGTGTATGTTTAGGTAGTTTTACATAGCTAGTTATTAAAATGTTCTGGTTTATTTGCCTAGAGAATAGAATATATAGAGAGGAATTAAAAGAATCTCTCGGTATGAATTTTTTCTGTCCCTTTCAGCCTGAAAGGGAGTTCAAAGTGTACAAATCATGTAAATGTTCACAAATTATGTGCAGTAGAGTACATTAATACAGTATGTTCCCTATACTATCCATTTCAATTTCGAATTTTTTAAACTGTTAAATAAACTTTATAATGAATTAGGTGAATAAAAACATCATTTGATTTACATAGTTATAACGGAAAATCATCGTTTGTAAAGTGGAAGGCATAAAGTCTATTTAAAATGATCATTTGTCAATTATGAAACCAGCCTATTTCATAATTTGGCTTTCTTATAACAATAATTTTAGATTTTCTATAAAATGATATTCCCGGGCCCAACAGGTTATATAGCATAAATATGTGAAGTACACCTGTAGTATGGAAACAGTACAACAAAATGGCCGTTTTACACTTTTTTCTAGTAAATTTCCCTCTAATATATTCTATTCTCTATGTTTATTTGTGAGTACGTTGGTATAATTGTGTAGGACTCATTATAAACTAAAGTATATTTCATTTTAGTTTAATTAATACGCTTTTGGGTGTAAAATGAAAACGTCGCAAAATAAGGTTTTTCTTATTTTAAGATAGGAGCAGGCAAGACATATTGTGTATGGGTAGAGGTATTAAGTATGGGTAGGGGTATTGTTTATGGGTAGGGGTATTGTGTATGGGTAGTGGTATTGTGTATGGGTAGGGGTATTATGTATGGGTAGGGGTATTAAGTATGGGTAGGGGTATTGTGTACGGGTAGGGGTATTGTGTATGGATAGGGGTATTGTGTATGGGTAGGGGTATTAAGTATGGGTAGGGGTATTGTGTATGAAACATCTTCTGTATATGTAGAAAGGTTTTATATGAGTATGGAATTGTGTATTAAAAATGATGTAAAAGTTTGAGCGTAAAATATGATGATAGATAATTTGGGGAAATATCAATGTTGGGAAAATATATAAAAGGGAAAGGAAAAGGTGGGGAAAAGTATACTATTAGGTTTGTAGAGGATGAAAATATAATTGACCTTTACAAGCTTAAGAAAGTTTTGGGATTTGAGGGGGAGGGGGTTAAAGTTGCTTATTGGTTTCTATAAAGTATTTCAGTTAATATTGTTACTATTCTAATTATCAATTAAACACTTTTATACTTCGTTATAGGGGAATATTATAGCTGGGAATACAGTGGACAATAGACATACTTAAAACAAGACAATAGACAGAATACAAGAATAGACACGATTCAGTAAAAAACACAATCTATATATATAATTTGCGTGTCTGTATGGGGTGTCTCTTTGTTTGTTTGTATCCAAGAAACGTCAAAAAGGTTGAACCATTCGGGCCAAATTTTATCTATGCCAACTCACGTGACCCCAGGGAAGGTTTATTAGTTAAACATGTTGAACCAGAAAAAATGTCGACATTTATTATTTTAGAAAATACACGAATTCAAATCGAAAAATACGCGAAATTTTGAGTTTTACAGTTACAAAGAATAATTGTCGACTTATCAAACAACAATTTAAACTAACTTTGTTACAAACCAAGGGGCGCTAAACCCCCTATATAGCATAGTCAATTTATGTATGTCCGTTTTTGGTTTGCCTGCTTGTATCCAATAAACTACACAAAGGCTGGAACGATCAGGCCACAGTTTTGTGTGGCAACTAACATGACCCCAAGAATACAAAGAAAAATGGTGGCTTGTAAAGCAACATTTAAACGCTAAAATAATTACTTTACAGAAGAAAGACAAAATTCAATTGTCATTAGATTTTAAAAATCGAAAGATTTTTTTTTATAAAATCCGCAAATTTTTTTTGTTTATTTTTGTTTTACAATGAGAAAATGTCCACAATTGAAATAGAAGATGGGCGCGAAGTGCCCCGTAAGCCTAGTACGGTATTATACACAATATACATAGTACTGCAGAAAACACTATATATTTTTTATTCTTATTTCATTGTCATAATAACGAGTTATATCCGTAGGAAAATTCCCATAACCTGGAGAAAATAAAATAAAACCATGAATATAATTTTATTTGTTAGTTGCTTTTATCCAGGCTAATAATAGAAGATCAAACAAAAATTTAGGATTTCATAAATTTTCGTTTTAAAATTTTGTGAAAATTTTGAGTAAAATTGTTGACGGATCTACGACATATTTAAATGTTAACAGCATAAATAAAAGTTGACTCTAGAAACAAGTTTTATCTCAAAATTTTCTGGAGAAAGTACGCGCGTTTTATCTTCTTCTCTGCATTGTTAAATATCTTTTTTCTCTTAGATGAAAAAACACAATATTTGTCTAAATTTTTATAAGGCAAAAGTATTGTATTGAAGAACGTGTACAAATATCTTATTTTAGCTCTAGCTGTTTACAAAGCATTTAACGACCTCTTTCTTCTTTGTTATTTTAAAGTTATATAATAATAACAAGAATGACACATTTCGCAGATTTTCCTGCTTTGACTTGTAGATTTCAAACATCTTAAAATTTAAAATAATCCGTTAAATGTCAAAACAGATGACCTAATCGGGCCAAACTTTTTTGTGGCAACTAAAATTCAGAAAAGGTTAAAAGACGGTCAAATTTGAAAATTTTTGACCGAAAAAAATGTCAACATTCGTTATAAAAACAGAAAATCTGGGAAAAGGAATTGAGTCTTTGCCACAAACTAAAATTTTTTAATGAAAATATCTTTGCAACCTGAAAAAAATCTGAGTTTGTGGCAAAGACTCAATTCCTTTGTCTTCGTACTCTGTTTGTATGTCCCATCATAACTAATGAACCACTTGGCCGATTTGTCTCAAATTTTGATTGGGGAACTCGTTAAAACCACAAAAAAATTATCTTAGGTTAATTAATAAAAAGTTTAGTATGTCGACTTCCACAGAGATAGTTCAGTTTCCGGGAAAAGCTGGGTTCCCAAGCTAGTTATAGATATATTGGATAAACAATGTTTTTCTTGTTTTTTACTTATTTACCTTTGCCAGGTATTTGTACGAGGAAGAGGATGAATCTGGAGACGCAGCTAGGGAATACTTTTAAGTCCAGGTTTACATTTTTTTCAAAATCAGTTTATCAAACATTTTCCCAAATCTCTCAAAAATTTTCTTATTTTATAATTTGTAGGAATTTTGAAAAATTGGAACGGCGGGTACAGGGCACTGGTCATTACAAAATAGGTAAATATTAATATGCTGACGTAGTTTTATCTAAACCTACATATATTTATATATCTCTAGGTACCCATCATATCTAAACATATATATCTCTAGGTACCCATTATATCTAAACCTACATATCTATATATCTCTAGATACCCAACCCACTCTACATAAATATTTCTAGGTACACACTATATCTAAACTAATATATTTACATATCTCTAGGTACCCAGTGTACCTGAACCAATATACCAATATTTCTCTAGGTACCTACTATAACTGCACCTATATATCTATATATCTATAAATACCCACTATACCTGAACCTATATGTCTATAACCCACTATATCTCTATATCTATAGGTACCCACTGTACCTATACATTTCTAGGTACCCACTATATCTATAAATCTCTAGGTACCAACTATACCTGTATATCTCTAGGTACCCACTATACCTATATATCTCTAGGTACCCACTATACCTATACATCTCTAGTTACCCACTATACCTGTATATCTCTAGGTACCAACTATACCTATGCATCTCTAGGTACCCACTATACCTTTACATCTCTAGGTACCAACTATACCTGTATATCTCTAGGTACCCACTATACCTTTACATCTCTAGATACGCACTATACCTATATATTTCTAGGTTATCACTATACCTGTATATCTCTAGGTACCCACTAAACCTATACATCTCTAGGTACCCACTATACCTACATATCTCTAGGTTACCACTAAACCTGTGTATCTCTAGGTACCCATTATACCTGTATATCTCTAGGTACCCACTATACCTATTACCTATATATCTCTAGGTTACCACTAAACCTTTATATCTCTAGGTAACCATTATACCTGTATATCTCTAGGTACCCACTATACCTGTATATCTCTAGGTACCCACTAAATCTGTATATCTCTAGGTACCCACTATACCTATACATCTCTAGGTACCCCAGGAATCCTGCAGTGGGGAGCTCATCCTACACACAAGCTCCAGTTACAAAACTTAGTACTATTAAAACCAGGTAAATAGGACAGAACGACAGGACAGAACAGAACAGAACAGAACAGAACAGAACAGAACAGAACAGAACAGAACAGGACAGAACAGAACAGAACAAGACAGCAGAACAGAACAGAACAGGACAGCAGAACAGAACAGAACAGAACAGAACAGAGCAGAGCAGAGCAGAACAGAACAGAACAGAACATGAAAAAGAATATTTTTATATTTTAGTTTCATCCTGGGAGATCAGCTTGGGGGGAAGTGGGGGCGGGAGAAGGAGGGGGGGAGGTCCAACCTCCCCCTCCCGGCTACGATGTTGTGTTGCGGGGGAAAAAAGGTATATACTAGACAGGCCATTAAAGGTTTTCTCGAGGCTTACATATATTTAGATACCTCTTTGGTTATTCTAAACCCTTCTAATATTTGCCTTTCCTTATTTCTGATTTTTCCTTTTCATTTCTGTTTTTATGTTGAAAAATTTAGCATTCTGAACTATTTGTCTGCATCTGGTTCTTTTTCTCTTATTTGAAGGAGTTGTGTCCGAACCTCCGGGTTGTAAATACACATATGAAGCAAGCATTTAATCTTTTTAAACAGAAATAAAATGTCTCAGACAAAAGGAAACATAAATTTCTATTCAACCCTTTTAGCTTTATCAGCTTTCTGTTTTAAGGTTTTCTGGGGGCATTATTCATTTATATACTTTCATAACTCTTTCGTGTACTTTACATTTTGTTTTAAATCCTCTTTTTAAATTTATTTTCAAATGAATATTTTTAACACAATCAACCATGTTTGAGAAGAATGTTATCCTTTTGTTTTGTTCACCAGGATTCTGGAAGTCGTGATATGAAATCTGCTCAGAATACGCCCTCTCGGCAACCAATGGTCCCACCACACAATATGGCTCCGCCCACCTTACAGGAGAACAGGCAGGCCGTCCTGGGGGGTGGAGACTTTAAGAAGGTAAATTAAAGGAAACATAATAGTTGGAGACTTAAACGGACTGTCATTATAATTTTAAGTGGAAATCCATTAAAAAAGGTAAATGCCTAATTCACAACGGTACCCTTTGAAACGTTATCTGATAAATAATGTGGGAGATATTCTCGTTTTTCTAATTTGAAAAGTTTTGAATTCTCAATTGGTTATAAATTTAATTATCCGCAAAGAGAAAAACAGGGACATCTTACTCATGCTTTATCGGACAAACCTGTTTAGGGTATCGTTGTGAATCTAACAGAACACTCTATGAAGGTAAGGTCACTTAAATATACGTTTATAGTCCCTTCATAGGGTCGCTATGTTCCTAGTTGAGATCATAATCGTAAATTTAATTTTAAATTTATCAAACTCTAGGTTAGCGGAATCTCCAACGAGATATTCCGTCAAATTGAAACGGTGGAAAACCGTTATGATCAAAGTACGGCGGAAGCATTCCGTGCTGTCCAGAAATCCGGGGAGATGGTTGTACGGAAACTTGATCCGGCCCAGTTTATCCGTCTAGCTAGTGAAACCGCACCCAAGATAAACGTCAATACTAATGTAAGTAGGATTGTTTTATTAAGAATATTTTAAAAGATTAAAAGATTCTAGATTTAATTTTCTAATATCCAGGATCCAGATTCAGCGACAAGTTTTGTGGAGATCGTTAAACGTCCTGGACAAACCCTGGGTTTATATATCAGGGAGGGGAACGGAGTAGACAGGTCGGACGGAGTCTTTGTCTCCAGGTTAGTGTCATTATATCTCTCCATGCTCAGGCATATTCTTAATATTATTCTTCTGATTTTAGTAGCGCAGAATTCAGAAAACTGAGAAACATTTCTTCCATCCTAATTTTATTCATTGTAATATTGAGCTTCGAAATTTTCTGAAGGTTTATTAATCTGTTATGCTCTTGTATCCTTGTATCCTGTCTAAACCTAGAAACTCAATCAGAAATTTCATGGATATTGAACTCTGGATCTAAACCAGTATCATAAGATCAACGATCTTGGAGGATGGACAATAAAATTATGCAATTCTCTAAAAACTGAGAAGTTTAAACTTCCAAGAAAATGTAATGTCAGACCATGGAACTAATTTACTCATCATTACAAGTTTCATCTACATTTTCAGGTTTTATTCCTTTTTCCGAGCTTGTCCCCCTCATTTTGAGCTCACTTTCTCTTTAACAGATCCCGCTCTTCTTCACCTAATTCTATTTAATCCCTCTCATTTCAAGTTCAATCCCTTTTTTCTAGTTCAATCCCTATTTTCTAGTTCAATCCCTTTTTTCTAGTTTAATCCCTCTTTTCTAGTTCAATTCTTCTTTTCTAGTTCAATCCCTCTTTTCAAGTCAAATCCCTTATTTCAAGTGCAATTTCTCTTTTCAAGTTTAATTTCTATTTTCTAGTGCAATCCCGCGTTTTTGAGTTCACTCTCTCTTTTACAAGTTCAATCTATCGTTAGTAGTCCAATCCGTCTTTTCAAGTTCAATCCCTCTTTACAATTTCAATCTCTTTTCAAGTCAAATTCTTCTTTTCAAGTCTAATCCCTCTTTTTAAGTTAAATTTCTTTTTCTAATAATCCCTCTTTTTTAGTCTAATCCCTCTTTTCAATTTCAATCCCTCTTTATGATTTCAATCTTTTCAAGTCAAATTCCTCTTTTCAAGTTCAATCCCTCTTTTTAAGAATAATAATAATCTCAAATCTTCAGTTTTATTCATCTCTTTAACTTTAATCTCTCTCTTTTAATCCAATCCCAAACGCCTGTTCTAGTTTAATCCCTCACTTAAAATTGATGCCTTCTCGAGTCCTTTAATCCCTTCTATCAAGTTAAAATTATCAAAGTTATTATATACAAGAGTTCAAATCATTTAAAGATTTACAACGGGAAATTGGACCTGCGAAAAGCCTTTGACGCTTTACTGTAATTTAAACGTAATCAAACTGTTGATCAAATATATCTACATCTATATGTATAAAGCTGTAATTTCTGTTTGGGTGTCTGTTTGTTTGTTTGTCCGATCAAAACTAGCTTAGTTTTTAGATTCTAAGTTGAGTAGGTCGACTTTTATTTTGAAAATTTAGTTCTCCGGTAAAATCATCCAAGTGCGGGTAAACGGCGGGAGTAACTATGAGTAACCTAGGCAACGCTGGGTTCCCAAACCAGTGTATTTATACATTTTAAGTATGTTGGGTCAGGAAGGAATGTTATTTTTTTCTAGTTCTACATTTCCCAAGACATCAGATTTCTGTTGAACTCATTAAAAGTTTCCCCTGGATGAAAAACTTGAAATCTGTCCTCCTAGTTAAAGGAAAACTATATAAGGATAAAGGAAGTGCAGTTTATTTATTTATTCAAAGAAATCGAGTCTTTTCGACACTGGATTTCAAGGTCTCTAACTAATAAGCAAAAATCGAAGAAAATTTTGCCAAAATCTTCTTAAAAACCAAAACTAACAACAAGTGCTTTATAGCCCTAAAATGTACATGTAAAGGGCTACAGAAAAGCATTTGTAAGTTAGTGCGGAAAAATTAAAGCCCGAGGCGTTACGACACTTCAAAGACGACTCTGTCCTTAAAATTAATGAGACCTAATATAAGGAGGCTGAATCTATGTGTCCACAAAAAACAAATTTTCTTATCCCTTTATCTTTACAACCTGATGGTGTAAATCTAAGATATTTCAGATTTAGTTGATTTGTTCTAACGTAATTCATAGTTTGAAATATCTGATTTCTACGCCATTGGGTTGCAAAGATATAGAGAGTAGTAGATCAGAGTTTGTGGCAAAGACTTAATTCCTTTTCAAGAATTTTTATCCTATTATTCTTAAACACATTTTCAATGCAAAATAGGTAATAAGGTAATTCTTTTAAATTCAAAGAGAAATGGTCTTTTTGAATGTATACAATAAACATGCTCTGGTTGTAGAAACCTTACTTTTAGCAGCATAAGTTGTAACAAAAACTGAGGATTTAAAAACAAGAGTTTTCAATAAGCATCCAATATTTAAAATCTACTGGATCATATAACGTTCTAAAAAGTGACCCTCCATGCAAAACTAGCGATGTCTGATTTACAACGGTACCCTTGAATGCGTTCTCTGATCAAATATAAATTAGACAGCAATATTGTTGTTTCTTTTAACTGTTTAGTATCATTTCCGAAAGGGAGTTGCGCATTTCTTGCTTTTAAGAAACAATGGAGAAACTCACCAAAATAAACTCATTTTGAGTCAGAAAAACGACGTTATCTTCCACAATTTTGATGAGATTAAGGTTCCAAGGTAACCGTTGTAAATCGGGCATTCCCATCTTTGTATAGAGGAGCACTTGAAATTACGCTTACAGTCCCTTTAAGAGAGAATTCTAGTTTTCATTATTTAGGTTTTATCCCTCGTCCTTCTCCTAGTAATTGCTGAACCTACATTATTCTCCATACTCGACACTTCTCCTTATTTCCTTTATTATCTTTTATATTCAGACCATTGTACAGTGAACACGGGACAAGTACTTCAGTGGGGGGGGGGAGGGGGGTTCGATAAATACAGTGCAAATACTGTAGTACTTGTAGGGGTTGGGGGGTTTGAGAGGTTGGGAGGTTGGGAGTTTGAGAGGTTGGGAGGTTGGGAGGTTGGGAATTTGGGAGGTTGGGAGGTTGGGAGGTTGGGGGTTTGGGAGGTTGGGAGGTTGGGGGGTTGGGGGTTTGGGAGGTTGGGAGGTTGGGGGTTTGGGAGTTTGAGGGTTGAGTGGACACATGACAAGAGTACTTTTAGTGTGGGAGGGGGATGGGGGTGTGGTTGAAGGGAAGGGGGAATTTGGACAAGAATTTTATATAACAATATTTCAATATTTATTTTATTCTACTCTTAAATCTTTTTATATATTCAGGTCAATAATGTTTAAGAATTCATGATGTATTTGATATTTAAAGTACAGTGTATAAATGATCTTCATGTATGCCAATCAAACATTTTAAATCGGTTTTACGGTTCTTAGTTTTTAGTTGAAATTTGACATTGCTCATTATGGAAATCAAACTTGGTCTTTTTCAGAATTGCTCTGGAGTCGGCTGTTTACAGCAGTGAGTGTATTGTCGTCGGCGACGAGATACTAGCCGTCAATCTTGTCGATGTTACGAGAATGAGTCTCGACGACGTAGTTATAATAATGTCGATTCCGCGTCGACTAGTTCTTACCACCCGGAGACAAAAACAAGCTCCACGTTATTCTCAAACCAGAACTCTAGACCATAAACCTGCTCCAGTAGTAGTGTTTAAAGGAGACCCGGATCAGTCCGCGGAGTTTGGATTCCGTGGAGAATATAGGGGACCAGGAGACGGTTTTGGTTCTCCAGGACGGAGAGGAGATTTATTAGCAGTGAGAGATAGTAGGACGCTAACCTGGGATAGAAACCCTAGACCGGATAGAAGTGATCCTAAATATTTTCCTGTCAATAGTTTACCTCGTCAGCGCGCACCTAACACTGCTCTTTCTCCTCCTAGAGAAGACTGGCGGGGACGGGACGGAGGTGAATATAGGGACGGATACACACCTGGAGTAGGACGGGAGGTTTACACTCCAAACTCAAGGGATATGCCTCCTCCTATGCATGCTCTACCATCCTACCAACCCCCACCTCCTGTATTAACCGAACAAACTAGAGTAGGAAAAGAACCAACACATTTTAAGCCGTACAAACACACTTACAATGGAGCACAGGGTAAACTTCAACCTGGAGCTATAGCTGGACCAATTCTTAGTTCAGGTTTATCTCCTGCAGGAGCTCCAGGTAGGAGTATAGTACCAGGGAACGGAGCAGGGTTCAGAGAGCAGGACGTTTACTCTCAGGCATACACAACAGACAACCCTAGACCGGAGTCAGGACTAGGTAAGTAAATATTCTTGTATATATGTTGTAAAATTTATTTAAAGATTCTGATTTGTTTTTAAAATCTTAAATATAAGTTGCGGCAATTATAAAATATTCTACTTCCTGAATATGTGTAGAGTAGGTAGGTTCTGCTATATGTATTTATGTATACTGTATAGTGTCGCCAAGTAATTTTCTTATCTGTTCATTCTATTAATATCTATCATTAATACTTATCTATATCCTCCCTCTACCAACTCATTGGAAACCTTATTCCTCATGTTTTATACGATTAAAATATTTCGTTAATAGGTTCAGGTTGGGTTTTAAATTAATCCCAAGTTTGAAATATCTAAGGTTTAGGACATTGAGTTGAAACTATATAGGGATTAGAAAATTTAGATGCAAATGCTCAATTCCGTCTTGTAGTCTAACCTAAAAGATAATGTTCTGCTGTTATCATGTATTTCTAGAAACTAACGACAAACCTGAAGTCCATACAAACCAACGAACATGATATTAAAACTTGTAGATTTCCACTATTTTGAATTCATTAGACAAATCCAACAGGAATTTACAAAAATATTAAAAAATGTTTATTATATCCTATTTCCAACAAAAAATCGTGAATATGCATAGAAACAAAGGAAAACCCCAGGTATTCTTTAATGGGCCTTCGACACTCAAAAATTATAATGAATACTTAAGAACAACCCACAAAATTGACACCCTGTCCCTCTTGATTCATTGCAAAGAAAAAATACAATATTTCGCAAAAATGTACCCTACACAAAACATTAGGGCCTCACTCCCCTTATCCCTCCTTTTTCATATATTTCCTTCAAGTTTAACTCTATTCACAGCTTCAGCTTTAGCTTTTAGCTTTAACTATAAAGTCCGACAGCGTATCAAAGAATTTTCCTTTCAAGGTTGCTTATTCAATTTATAAATTTCATACTTGTTGGCATATTTCCAATATTTAGTACCCTATACTTACATGTTTAGGAACCATATTAGAGCAGGAGTAGTAGTAGGAGTAGGAGTAGAAGTAGGAGTAGGAGTAGGAGAGGAGTAGGAGTAGGAGGTGGAATAGGAGTAGGAGTAGGAGTAGGATTAGGAGTAGGAGTAGGAGTAGGAGTAGGAGTAGCAGTAGGAGTAGCAGTAGGAGTAGGAGAAGGAGTAGGAGTAGGAGTAGGAGTAGGAGTAGGAGTAGGAGTAGGAGTAGGAGTAGGAGTAGCAGTAGGAGTAGGAGTAGCAGTAGCAGTAGGATTAGGAGTAGGAGTAGGAGTAGGAGTAGGAGTAGGAGTAGGACTTGGTTTCAAGGTTAGAGTGAGAGTATAAGTAGAACTAGGTTCCAGGGTTTGGAGTAGGAGAAGGAGTTGAACTGGGTTCCAGGGTTTAGAGTAGGAGTAGGAGTAGAATTGGGTTCCAGGGTTTAGAGTAGGAGTAGGAGTAGAACTGGGTTCCAGGGTTTAGAGTAGGAGTAGGAGTAGAACTGGGTTCCAGGGTTTAGAGTAGGAGTAGGAGTAGAACTGGGTTTCAGGGTTTAGATTAGGAGTAGGAGGGAAACTGGGTTCCAGGGTTTAGTGTAGGAGTAGGAGTAGAACTGGGTTCCAGGGTTTAGAGTAGGAGTAGGAGTAGAACTGGGTTCCAGGGTTTAGAGTAGGAGAATGAGTGGAACTGGGTTCCTGGGTTTAGAGTAGGAGTAGGAGTAGAACTGGGTTCCAGGGTTTAGTATTGAGCAATCTCTTAATTGTTACCGGGACTAATTACTAGGGACAAAATAATGATCAGAACAGTACTTAAACTAATATACCTTCATTCATGCAGGATATTATCTATCTATATATATACTTTGTTTTTCTGTTTGGGAATAGTTTTGTTTGTTTGTATCCAATAAACGTCAAAACGGCTGAACCGATCGGCCCAATTATTTTGTCGGGACCTCACATGACCCCAGGGAAGGTTTATGAAGGATCAAATTTTCAAAAATTAGCCTCCAACAAAAAAAAAATTGTCATTAAATTTTGAAAATCCACGAAATTATTTTTATAAAATTCGTGAAACTGTTCACAATTGAAATAGAAGCTGGGCGAGAAGCGCCTGGAAGCCTCGTATTGTATCTGGATTAGTAAACTTATTTGCAACCATACCTCTTGGTAGAGGTATTGTTTTGTATTCCATCTTTAAATTTTTGCGCAACTTTGGAGTCATTCAAAGTTACAATTAGCCTTAAATTATGTAATAATAATAATAATAATAATAATGTAAAGTATTTTATTTTAAAACAGGAGACAAACCATTCTAATGTTTTATTGACGCACAGTGTTTTTTGGAAATTCTAAAATTAAACCAGTAAATTGGCAACCTGTCTTTGCAATCTGAGGGTGAAAACCATTTAAACATTTAGAGCTATAACTATTTTATTTCTGGCAGAATTCATAGTTGTATTATTATTTCAGGATACAGGATACGTGCTCCTCCGTCCCGTGGTGTTGAATCTGGAGTTCCGGTCTATCCTCCAGACTATATGAAACCAGGCACACAGTCACTCTCTAGGAAGGCGTACACCTTGGGTGGGTGGCGAGGCGGAGGGCGGAGCCTAGAAGGAGGTTGGAGAGGCGGAGCAGGGGGTCGGAGCTTGGACTACGCCAGTGATACGGATGCAGTTCAATCTCCTCCTAGGTTTGTTCGTCTTTAAAAACCATAATTAACAAAAAACAACTTTTATTTAAATCTAAAATACATTAAAACTGTTTTAGATCAATGAGAACTGGTTCTGAGCGCGGAGTTGGTGTGCACGCGCGCAGTAACTCTCTTCCGCGCACATTCAATCGTGAAGCTCTACTCCGTCATCCAGAGCTAAGTATGGAGATTGACCGGCTCTCCGATACCATGTCAGAGACAGGAGACCGGCTCTCCGTTAGACAATCTCACAGAGGTGAGAAAAATTTAATATAACTTCTTAAAGGGACTGTAGGCGTAATTTCAAGTGACACTACATTTGTAGAGTAGCGTGTCCGATTCCTAACAGTACCCTCTAAACATTTGACTGAACAAAGTTGTCAGACTTCTCCTCATGCTTTAAATTGTTGAATACTTTGGTTGCAAGGCTGTTTTTTATTAAAAATATTTCTAGACGTGGGTGAAAATAAATATTTTACTTTGAATTTTTAAATTCCGATTTAAACGTCAAATATTTAAATTTCAAGGGATCATCAGCTGTGTTGAGTTCACACTGTACTCAGCGTACACTGGGTTTTAGGGGAATTTAAGTGGTTTTCAATAGAGTTATACACAATGATCTTTGTAATCGATGAACGGACAAAGATTTAAAGAGAACCTTGTAAAACAGGTCAGGCATTGCTTTCTTTGCATTGAGGGTCACTTTAAATTCCGCTAACATTCCCTTTAAAAAAATGATTACCTAAAATCTATTTATGTCCTCGATCTGGTCCAGGAATAATTACCAAGTATGTCGAAACCTTTTCCAGGTCAATTATATCTCAAGCGTATTGAGAAACATAAATTGCTTGAAAAAGATCAATAAATCACGAGATAATTATAAAGCATAAAAATTCCCAATATTGAAATTTCATAATTCAACCCTAGATAGACCATAGGTACGTAGGCAGTTTTGTCAAGTAAGCTCAAGCCAGCATCTTGCAGTTCCATGCCTTAATCTTTGTTAAATGTCTTACTACACTCTGTTGATTATTGAATACATAGATTAATAACAACACAGATAGAAGACCAGATGTAGTCTTTTCCAAGATTTAGGGGTTTTTCGTTCACAATAACCCTGAAGTAGAAGCACAAAGGAGTTACGCGCATGCACAGGCTCTCTCTCTCTGTATTGTTATTATACGCAGAATGCGCGTAACTCTTTTAGGCGTCTGCGTGAGGGTGATTATAAACAAAAAACCACTAAATCTTGAAGAGGCTGCATCTTGTGTTCTATCTGTGTTGTTGTTAATCTATGATTGAATACTATATAAATAATGAAGAACTATTAATTGTGTAAACAATTCTCTCATGCTCTCTTTTAGAACAAAAATATTTTTGAACATTTCCTTTACGGGGCCGAGGAGGGATGGGGGACAGGATATAGAAATAGCGTGTTGATTAGGTATTGTCATCAAAACATTCTCTAGGGTCAAAAGAAAATTTATTAGGATTTGGTGGTTGGGGATGAAGAGAGAAAAAAGGGAAGGGAGAGGTGAAGGGAACAGAGGAAGAGCAGGGATAAGGGGAGAAAATGGGACAGAAATAAAGTATGGGAATCGAAAATAAAATTAAGTAAAGAAAAGAGGACTAAAAGGGGGACTTGGAGGGGACTGGAGAAGAGGACTAGAGAAGGGGGGACTGGAGTAGGGGACCGAGAAAGGGATCTATATAGGGAACTTGAAAGGGACTGGAGAAGAGGACTAGAGAAGGGGGGACTGGAGTAGGGGACCGAGAAAGGGATCTATATAGGGAACTTGAAAGGGACTGGAGAAGAGGACTAGAGAAGGGGGGACTGGAGTAGGGGACCGAGAAAGGGATCTATATAGGGAACTTGAAAGGGACTGGAGAAGAGGACTAGAGAAGGTGGGACTGGAGTAGGGGACCGAGAAAGGGATCTATAAAGGAAACTTGAAAGGGACTGGAGAAGAGGACTAGAGAAGGTGGGACTGGAGTAGGGGACCGAGAAAGGGATCTAAATAGGGAACTTAAAAGGGACTGGATAAAAGAACTAAAGTAGGTGACTGAGAAGGGGACCTGGATATGGGGACATGAAGAAAACAGGAGAAAACTGGAGAAGAGAACTAGGGTAAGCGATTAGAGGAGGGAACCGAAGAAGGGGACGTGGATAGGGGACTTGAAGGGGACTTGAGAAGGATACCGGAGAAGGGGACCTGGGTACGGAATTAGGAGGGGACTAGAGGAGAGGACCGGATAAATGACCCTGGATACTAGGGTAGGGTACTTGAAGGGGAGGGGACTCGAGTAGGGGACTGAGAAATATTGAGAAAAAAGGGTTGAAGCAGTGAGGACTGGAGATATATCTAAGTAATGAATGTTGAGTTTATTAGTTTATATATACCAGTATATATATATATATATATACATAGTATATATTCCAGTATATTTATATATATATATATATATATATATATAGAGTATATTTATATATATTGTTTATATTCCAGGGACTAGATCTCCTTCATCCTTCTCAACCTTGGGAGACTTCATGCAAACTCAGGTAATTAATAGATCTTTTACAATCAATCCAATCATTCTTATACTATCAATATTTCAATATTTTATATACTCTCCCTGCCTCTCTCCTTTTTGATAATACTACCCTCCCCCGTCCCTCAATTCAATCCCTCATTATATCCCCCCCCCTCCTTTCCATATTCTCCCTCCCTTCTTCTTTAATTCTTGTATCCCGCACAGCTTTATATATTTACTTTCTCACCTTATACTTTGTATCCTTAGTTCCTTTTTTATATCCTCCCGTCCTCCCTTTGTATCCCTCTCTCCTTCTTTATATCCTCCCGTCCTCCCTTTGTATCACTCTCTCCTTCTTTATATCCTCCCGTCCTCCCTTTGTATCCCTCTCAATTTCTTTATATCCTCCCGTCCTCACTTTGTATCCCTCTCTCCTTCTTTATATCCTCCCGTTCTCCCTTTGTATCCCTCTCAATTTCTTTATATCCTCACGCCCTCCCTTTGTATCCCTCTCTCTCCTTTTTAATATCCTCTCATCCTTCCTTTGTATCTCTTTCTCTATTTTATATCCTCCTGTCCTTCCTTATTATTCCTTTTATTCCTTAATTAAATACTACCTTCCTCCCTCCACTAATTTTGTATCCTTCTCTCCTATCTATCTATCTGTGCCTAGGATATGGTTAAACGAACTCCCTCAACTAGTGCTATATATGAGACCCTGAGACGGAGTAAAGAACTACGAGAATCCTTGTCTCGTCCTAGTTCTCGTCTCTCTATAGATAATATTCCAGATAAACTCAAAGAACCGGTAAGTAACCTCATCAGAATTTTGGCAATTACTCCTTTTAATGATACACGCGCTGTAGTTTTGAAATTTACATGTCAATTGCTACAAACTAAGATGAGTGTGTAAGTAAGATAAAATCAAAGGATAAGGCGTTGTAACACTTTATAGTCGAGTTGGTTTTGAAAATTTATGCATAATTTTCATATCTNTTGGTTGTCGTCTTCCATCAACAATCAACAAATAACGAGAGGATAGAGTAGAGAAGTTTATGAATACGTTGAACAGTGTTAACGAATTTGAAAAAAAGCAGCCTAGGTTGTCGTCTTCCATCATCAATCAACAAATAACAAGAGGATAGAGTAGAGAATTATACGCAGTAACACTGCGCATAAATTTACACACATCGTAGAGCCATTATCATCGTGGTATAGGGGAAATACATCTAAAGGAAAGAACTTTAGAAAAAAAGTTTAAATTTAGCTTTGTATCATTTTTGTTCCAATTTTTATAAATTTTTACATTTCTGCTCTCTACCATTTTCAAAGTGTATAAATTGTAGCCTTGTTGATTAATCAGTTAACCAGATCGAGACAAGGAACACAGATTAAGAATAAAAATATCTACAAAATAAAGATATGTACACACATCTATATACATATCTATAGTTATAAAGATATGTATACACATCTATACATGATTCATAATTTAAAATAATCAAGGTCTACGACAATTAGATGAGGATTTAAATAGTAGAAATTGACGATATTACAACACGTAATCTTATGAAAAACTATGTATTAGCCAACTAAATGAAGCATCATCTTTAAATTTGATTTGATTTGATTTGATTAAATACATCATTGATTTGTTGACAAAATCGAATATGTTTCATGAGGTACGAAGACTTATATATTTTTTCAATGTCGTTAAAAACTCATTTAAAAATAAAATGTTTTAAAATATTATAAAAACGGGTATACATGTGGGACTAACTGTACTAAGTAATGTTATAAAATTTTAAAGTTTATTTAATAACTGTTGCAGGATATTTAAACAATTGGGTTTTGTATTAAAACATTACCGTCTTTACACCGTTGACTAATTGCAATTAATAATGTTCATTAAAAGCTAATTATGGCAAATTGTAGTTTTAAACCCTACTGTTTACCCAGTGTGAACAAAATAAATATTCTGACCTGAAATTACAGGGGGAAGAAAACTTGTTGTTATTTACCAATTATCTATAATTACTCTTTGTAAAAGTACACTGTGTTTAGTTGTTTATTTATTTGTTCTTTTACATTGTTGATTTAATTGAAATGTATTTATTAAACGGAATTTATTAACATTTCATCAAAATCTTTTAAGTTTAAACAAGTACGTTAAGTTAACTTAAAAAAATTGTACACGGAAAAAAAATACTTGAAATTTGGATTTTACATTAAAGGAATTTTCTTGAAATTTTGATTTAGTTTGAAATAATTAGAAGTTATAGATTTAGAAAGTCTAAAAAATGAAACACAGCTGTTGTGCAAAGGAACTTCTTGTTTTTAAATCTTTATATCTGTGCCACCCGATGTTGTAAACCTTTAATATTTCAAACTATGAATTCTATTGGATCAAATAGTTTTAGTTTAAAACATCAAAGGTTTACTTCGACAATTTGTGAAGATATAGGAATTAGAAAATTTAAGTTTGTGGTAAGAACTCTGTTCTTTTCCTGAAAAAATTGATTTTCAAGCCACTGTATAAGTTTTATAAAAACGTTTAATATTTGATTGCTAAAATGCCGTCTAACTATTTATGAGTTTCACTGTATGTCCTTTAGAATTTTTGTCCAGTCCACAAATTTTAATCTTAAAAGAATATTTAAAAACATACTTTTTATTTTCTTGACTATACAAACAGACTGGTTTATAAATATGAATACTTGGGAGTTCAAATCAATTTTCAAATTTTAATTTAATAGTCTCAGTGTTTTATCCCTTCCCCCTCCTTCCTTCCTCGCATAAATCGGTTTTCGATACTTTTCAAAATTAAAATTAAAAACTTTTCACTATTTGAGTAAAAAAGGAAAAGGAAAAGATGGCTAGGGAATTTCTCTCATTTGGTCATTTCCTGTAACAAGAAAACTTACTTTTTCACTTCTTTTTTTATGGTGAAACTAAGACAATATAATTTTCACAGGATTCGCAACCATTCTTTTGTGTTCTCTAAACTAGATTTTTAAATATAAAAAGATGAGAAAATTCAAACCTCGGAATTCTAAGAAACCTGGAGTAACAAGAAAATCTTTAAATTATTTAAATCTAACTCGATGATACGTAGAACAGGGGGGGGGGTGTTTGATGCCCCACTTTATTTTTTTTGCCCTGGCACTCTAATGTTTGACATGAAATACCACTGTAATTTTTTTTGACTTTCAAGGATTAGTAATTTAAAGGATTCTTTTGATAAAAAAATGCATAATGCAGGCTACAGGGCAATGAAAAATCTGGCCCGTGTTATAAAAATCTATAATAGACCATAACTTTTTCGTGGCTAAAGCTACAGACCTAAAAACTACATTTTTTAAAAACATTTGATAAAACAAAAAATTTACTTATTACATTTTCCGACCTTTTTTGGTAATTTTATCAACCATATTTAAGTTAGAGGTATAATTTTTTTCAATAAAAAATTGGGCTATGAGCCTATGAGTGCATTTTAATTCTAAACTTACACTCTAAGGCCATTTTCTAGAAGGGGGAGTAGGGTGGGGGGGGTAGAGGCTTACACAAAGATGGGTGAAACAGAAATATCTTTTTCATAAAAAAGATAATTTTGTTCTAATAATATTTTCCTTTATTCATATTCATCCTATTATTTGTTTTATTTACCTTAAAATAATACTATATAATTCCCTGGAGAGAAACAACCTTAATAATTAATATATATGATCACATTTTCTTCTCTTTATTGAAAAAAAAGAAAATATTCAATAAATTTAGAAAAAATACAAGACACTGTTTTATTTTAAAAAGGCTATCAAAGATTTTCAAGCCAGACTATGAAAGCGGAAATGAACATGAACTTCTGATAAGACACCCCCCTTTTCTGGTGCCTTGATTGAATTTTTTTTTCACAGCTTCAACTTATGTACAACAAATTATAAACACTCTCCACAAACTCTAATTTTTTATCCCATATCTTTCAAACTGGTTGATATGATCCAAATTTAACCTACAGTGGTTGATATAATCCAAAATATCAACCTACAGTGGTTAATATAATCTAAAATTTCAACCTATGGTGATTGATATAATCTAAAATTCAACCCACGATGTAGATATAATCCAAAATATCAACCTACGGTGGTTGATATGATCCAAAATATCAACCTACGGTGGTTGATATGATCCAAAATATCAACCTACGGTGGTTGAAATGATCCAAAATATCAACCTACTGTGGTTGATATTATCCAAAATATCAACCCACGATGTAGATATGATCAAAAATATCAACCTACGGTGGTTGATATGATCCAAAATATCAACCAACTGTGGTTGATATTATCCAAAATATCAACCTACTGTGGTTGGTATGATCCAAAATATCAACCTACGGTGGTTGGTATGATCCAAAATATCAACCTACGGTGGTTGATATTATCCAAAATATCAACCTACGGTGGTTGATATGATCCAAAATTTCAACCTACGGTGGCTGGTATGATCCAAAATATCAACCTACTGTGGTTGTTACGCCATATACAATTTTTTATATATTATTTTATAATTAGGAAAAAATATTTAAATGAAGTCAAAAGTTCAGCATTTTTGTCTGTAGGAACATGGATTATGTAAAAAGAAGCAGATCAAATGTTAAGAAATTTTAACAAAAAAAATTAACAGAAAGAATATTTCTAAGAATGAAGCTAAGTTTAAAAATTCAATTAACGTTGCTGAAAACTATATTTTTCAATTTTCTGAAAAGTTGAAAATAAAGAATTAAGTTTTGAAGGGGAACCTCAACCTAAACCGGTATTAACCGTCAAACATGAAAGATTTAAAATTAAGATTTTCCAAAATAATGAAAAGAAACTCATTATATTTAACTCAAAAACTCATCTAAATTAAAATAAAAGTGATTTATATCAATTTTATCAAAACTATTAGAAATAATTTACTCACTTGATAGATTTCGTTTTTTGTCTTTTCAACTTTAACGGAACTTCCACATAGATTCAAGTGACATTTAAGGAACGGGAAGCATAATTTTAACGTGCCCTTTAAAAATGTGCCTGAACAAAAATGATTGAGATATCCTGTTTTTTCTCAGTTGATAATTTTTTTTTAAATTGTTGGTTCTCCACAGAAGGCAGAGAAAGAAAATGGCAAATATTTTCTCTTTTCAAGCTAGACAAGGATATATTCCACAGTACTTATCTGATAAAGGTTTATACGGTACCGTTATTTTGAATCCGGCATGGCGCTCTGTAAGGGATAAGTCTCTTGAAATTACAGTGACAGCCTCTACAATTGATTTGTTTAGTCTGGAAAACTGTTCTATTTTGAGTGAACTATATTAAGCTTGATGTTGAGATATCTCGGCCCCCGGGGTATTTGTTGAATCATCCATTGTAAATAGACAAATAAAGGCTGATTTTCGGGGAGCTGGGGGGTAAATATACAAATATAAGTTAACACAACCGATATGAAATAAAAAATGAAATCTATATTTTAGGTTAATATAAATCACAATGTTAATCAATTTACAATTTACATAAATATAAATTCATTATTCATTCATAAATCAAATATGCACATTGTACTCATTAGAAAATCATGATTTTACATGAAAAATATTTTTTTTTACACATCACAAAATAGTAGCGGTGAACATGTAGGATTAATTGAATAGTTGTACTACAGTATTAAAGCAATATCATTATAAGTGGCAGAACTTAAGGTGAAAATATCTAAAAATACTTAATAAACCCCCTTTCCCAGAAATTCATGAATCGCTAAATTGTGGGGCATTTCCCCCCTAAATCAGGCTAGGGGGCCTTGCCCCCTTGCCCCCCCCCTAGTTGGGCGCCTGCATATTTTACGTCACTTATTGGTTTATTGGGTTATGTTAGACCTTAGATATTTTAAACTATGAATTCTGCTGGATCAAATATCCAAAGGTTTACCCAAATATCGGTTGCAAATATATATGGATTAGAAAATTAAATTGCACCAAATAATCAGTTGAGGAAATTGTATGGACCCCCCACTTGAGTTAATTTTGTTTGTAAATGATATTTAATTAAAAACAAAAGATTATGGAATGAACAGAATAGGAAATAATTTTATAAGAAATGTTGCAGTGCAGGGTAAATGACAGTTTCAGAATGCTTCCCTGACATTTTCTAGCTGATATTCTATATTGAGTTTCTTTATCATGTCAGAATTAAATATAGAAGGTTTTTATCCATATGTCAAAGTGTAATCCAGAAAACTGTGAAATAGGAATACGACGTTTGGGCAACATTTAAAGTATAATTGATGTTGTTCCAAAGCAAATAGTTTTTCTATATAGAAGCTTAAAAAATTATGAATTAAAATGGTATGTGGACACTGCACAATTGCAGTCACTTATGTACATTGGACTAGTTTAAATGATATCTAGAGTTTAACTCCCCCCCCCTTATTTTCATGTGAGTAAAGAATTCCGGTTAGTCTTTTCCTCTAATTAATACAGGTGGATCTCTAATTTTATTATGAGAATTAAATTTCAAAATAGATAAATAGATACTTCCGCGTTGCAATCCCCCCCCCCCCCCCCACCCCAACAAAGCAGAAAGTGTAAAAAAGTAACAACGGAACAAAAAACACTTGAACAAGTTCTTTTTATAGATTATATTAAGCATAAAGGAACCATAGATAAAGATAGATTGCGCATAAGACGACATTTTTCATCGTGAAAGATGTAAATGTACAGAGATGTTTTAAAGATATTCCTATTATATAGATTAACTAGGTCGGTTGTGAACATTGGCTGTTCTTATGTTATTGAGTACTTGTGGTGTACATGAGTTCTGTAGAGAGAAATTTAAGTTGGTTTAGTTTTTCTCATGTCCTTCTTTAGTTCTCGTCAATATGATAAAATGCTCAGTGAAATAAAATTCACTCCTGAGTGGTTTAATAATTCATTCCATTAAATCAATTAAAACACCAAACCACCCCGCTTATCATTGAAGTATACTTTGACCTCTAGAAGTATGAGTTCGCGGACTGTACAATTCTTGGTGATTTTGCGTACATAAGCTATCTATGTTTATTTATTTATCTATGAAAGGAACTGATACTCCTTAAATTATCATTCATTTTCTACTCCTTAAATCTTTGTAACCTGACGAATCGTAAACCTTTGATATTTTAGATTAAAAATTCTGGTAGACCTATTTAGAAAAAGGTTGATACATGAAAGGTTTACAAAATCAGGTTGAAAATATATAGGAGTTAGAAAAGTTAGAGTTTCAGGCGAGTAATCAGTTCTTTTTTAAGAGAAAAAAATATTTCTCTCATAAGAGGGGAGAATGAGAGAGGGAAGAGGTATGAATATGTTTGTGTAATGAGTTGGGGTGAGATCATCTAATTCTTTACAATCTAAAAAAGGAGCAGATGGTCTAATGGTAAATATAATAGATATCAAGGGGTAAACATTAGAAACTAAATAAACAAAATAACATTTTCAAAAATAAATATCTTAATTATAAACTAAACAAGAGTTAATTGATAATCTGCACATACTCTAATTTTCTGATCCTTTTATCTTCCCAGGATCGAATTTAATGAATTTGAGAGGTCGCTAAACTACCTACTGCTGGTTCAAATTCTCATAAATATTTTACTTTGAATTGCTGATTCAAGATTTAAACCGGCGGTAGTTAGGTCAGCCACCCAACCCAAATCTTATTTGGTCTCTGATGTAGTAAAAGCTTTGAATTCTGCTATATAAAATGTCAATCTAAATATTGCAAAAATAAGGATAAGGCCTAACATTTTCTTCTCTTTTTAAATCTAAAAAGTTCTAAATGGTTAATATTGTCCTTAAATCATTTTCTTCTGCATATTTACATTGTTTAAAATTTTTTCAAAAACTCATTAACAAAACATCTAACAAATGATAATTCAGAATAAAAAATAGAATTAAAAGGCATAAAATCCAAAATATATGTTTATCAACCATATGTATTTTGTGTCAACCAAAATTATCATAATTTATATTATAACAACAAAAAGTATTCAAGAGGGATAGGACATTTCTTATAAAAATCTGGGGGAAATCTAAAAAAAATATTTTTAGAATGATCTTTCAAGCCTTTTTAAAGTGTTAATTTACATATTTGGTTTGGTCTCATATAATTTAATGCAGTGAGATATAGAATTATAAAAACTGTGCAGAGTACTGATCAAACTAAGTGACTTTCATGCTAATCAACTGACTAACTAACTCATCAATTAAATGAATAACTAACTAACTTATTAACTAATCAGTGAGCAAACTCATTAGTCAACTCACATGCTACCTAACCAACTAGTCAACTCACATGCTACCTAACAAACTAGTCAACTCACATGCTACCTAACCAACTAGTCAACTCACATGCTAACTAACCAACTAGCCAACTCACATGCTAACTAACCAACTAGTCAACTCACATGCTAACTAACCAACTAGTCAACTCACATGCTAACTAACCAACTAGTCAACTCACATGCTAACTAACCAACTAGTCAACTCACATGCTAACTAACCAACTAGTCAACTCACATGCTAACTAACCAACTAGTCAACTCACATGCTAACTAACCAACTAGTCAACTCACATGCTAACTAACCAACTAGTCAACTCACATGCTAACTAACCAACTAGTCAACTCACATGCTAACTAACCAACTAGTCAACTCACATGCTAACTAACCAACTAGTCAACTCACATGCTAACTAACCAACTAGTCAACTCACATGCTAACTAACCANAGTCTTTATCTTGTCAGGGTTGGACAGTCTCAGGTTAGGGAGCAGGTTAGTATTTATCTTGTCAGGGTTGGATAGACTCAGGTTATTGAGCAGGTTAGTCTTTATCTTGTCAGGGTTGGATAATCTCAGGTTAGGGAGCAGGTTAGTCTTTATCTTGTCAGGGTTGGATAGACTCAGGTTAATGAGCAGGTCAGTCTTTATCTTGTCAGGGTTGGATAATATCCGGTTAGGGGAGCAGGTTAGTCTTTATCTTGTCAGGGTTGGACAGTCTCAGGTTAGGGAGCAGGTTAGTCTTTATCTTGTCAGGGTTGGATAAACTCAGGTTAATGAGCAGGTTAGTCTTTATCTTGTAAGGGTTGGATAGACTCAGGTTGGGGAGCAGGTTAGTCTTTATCTTGTCAGGGTTGGATAATCTCCGGTTAGGGGAGCAGGTTAGTCTTTATCTTGTCAGGGTTGGATAATCTCAGGTTAATGTTCTCCAAAAACTGCAGAGAACATTTCTTTGTTTGCTGCAGTGGATTAAAGTTAAGATTAAGATTAAGTTAAGTAAGACTGTTTAATGATTCATTATAACAATAATGGCAATTCAAATAAAATAAAGAACTCTCATTTTAAAACTTTTTTACTAAAATCATCATAAAACATATTTTTGCTTGAAAAAGTAGGTTAGAAGTGATATTAATACAAATGCAAAGAATGAATCATATTTATCCTGAAATATAAAACTTAAAAGCATTTTAGAATTATTTATACAATTCCTCCATCATTCGACAAAAAAAAATTTACTTTAAACATTTTAGTCGAGAGAACGTTCACACTCTCTATCCATCCCTGGGCTCCCTGCGGCTAGAACACCTTGTACTCCAACCTTTTCATCAGAGAAGGATGCTATAGCTAACTTCGTGGATTTCAACCCGGCAGGTAATAAAAGAGAACAACTTTCCATTAGAGAAGGGTTACATACCAACCTTCTCATCCAAGAAGGGTTACATACCAACCTTCTCATCCAAGAAGGGTTACATACCAACCTTCTCATCCAAGAAGGGTTACATACCAACCTTCTCATCCTAGAAGGGTTACATACCAACCTTCTCATCCAAGAAGGGTTACATACCAACCTTCTCATCCAAGAAGGGTACTGTAGCAACCTTCTCATCCAAGAAGGGTTCTGTAGCAACCTTCACATCCAAGAAGGGTTCTGTAGCAACCTTCTCATCCAAGAAGGGTTCTGTAGCAACCTTCACTCCAAGAAGGGTTCTGTAGCAACCTTCACATCCAAGAAGGGATTTATAGTTACCATCTCATCCAAGAATTAAGGGTTCTGTAGCAACCTTCTCATCCAAGAATGGATCTTTAGTTACCATCTCATCTAAGAAGGGTTTCATAGCAACCTCCTCATCCAAGAAGGGTGCTATAGCAACCTTCTCATCCAAGAACGGTACTATAGTAACCTTAAATTTACGTTGTTGTCATTTTCTTTTATTTGAAAGCGTGAAAAAAGTGAAAGCGTTCTGGAACTAGGACCGAAATGTGTTCCTTCATATCTTTTTTTATTGTGCATTGTCTAGTGCTTTATCTAGTACATTGTCTAGTGCATTGTCTAGTGCATTGTCTAGTGCATGGTCTAGTACATTGTCTAGTGCATGGTCTAGTACATTGTCTAGTGCATTGTCTAGTGCATTGTCCAGTACATTGTCTAGTACATTGTCAAGTGCATTGTCTATTACATTGTCTAGTGCATTGTCTAGTGCATTATCTAGTGCATGATCTAGTACATTGTCTAGTGCATTGTCTAGTGCATTGTCTAGTGCATGGTCTAGTACATTGTATAGTGCATTGTCTAGTGCATTGTCCAGTACATTGTCTAGTACATTGTCAAGTGCACTGTCTAGTACATTGTCTAGTGTATTGTCAAGTGCTTTATCTAGTACATTGTCTAATGCATTGTCTAGTGCATTGTCTAGTGCATGGTCTAGTACATTGTCTAGTGCATTGTATAGTGTATTGTCAAGTACATTGTCTAGTATATTGTCTAGTGCATTGTCCAGTACATTGTCTAGTACATTGTCTAGTGCTTTGTCTAGTGCATTGTCTAGTATATTGTCTAGTGCATTGTCTATTGCATTGTCTAGTGCATTGTCTAGTACATTGTCAAGTGCATTATCTAGTACATTGTCTAGTGCATTGTCTAGTGCATTGTATAGTGTATTGTCTAGTGTATTGTCTAGTTCATTGTCTAATGCATTGTCTAGTGCATTGTCTAGTATATTGTCTTGTGCATTGTCTAGTGCATTGTATAGTGTATTGTCTAGTGTATTGTCTAGTTCATTGTCTAATGCATTGTCTAGTGCATTGTCTAGTTCATTTTCGAGTGCATTGTCTGTTACATTGTCTAGTGCATTGTCTAGTGCATTGTCTAGTGTATTGTAAAGTGTGTTGTCTAGTGCATTGTCTAGTGCATTGTCTAGTGCATTGTCTAGTGCATTGTCTAGTATATGGTCTTGTGCATTGTCTAGTGCATTGTATAGTGTATTGTCTAGTTCATTGTCTAATGCATTGTCTAGTGCATTGTATAGTACATTTTCAAGTGCATTGTCTATTATATTGTCTAGTGCATTGTCTAGTGCATTGTCTAGTGTATTGTAAAGTGTGTTGTCTAGTGTATTGTCTAGTTCATTGTCTAATGCATTGTCTAGTGCACTGTCTAGTGTATTGCCTAGTTCATTGTCTAATGCATTGTCTAGTGCATTGTCTAGTGCATTGTCTAGTGCATTGTCTAGTACATTGTCAAGTGCATTGTCTATTACATTGTCTAGTGCATTGTCTATTGCATTGTCTAGTGCATTTAATATAAATTTTCATCATTGATAAATGTACTTTGTTTAGATTTTGTGAAGTATAAGCTGGATAGATACAGTGAAACCAGCGATATTAGACTTAGTGGGTCTCTTCACCTTCATCTTTTATCAGGTTAGCTAGAGGGGGGGGGGGCTAGCAGTAGCTAGGGGGGGGCGGTAGCTAGTGGCATAGGCAGTGGGGGGGGACTTAATGTCCCCCCCCTCTTCCGGTCTTAACTATTACTGCCACTTTTACAGGAAGGCATAGCCCCCCCCCCCTGAAGGTAGTAGAGAAGGCCATGAATTAATTTTCTATTCTAGTTTATAATTAATGATACATGTTTAGAAGTAATCATAATTAAATAAATATGAAAAGACCTGGAATATAATTAAAGTAATATTAAACACCAAGTTTGTAATTAAAGGAATTTAATAGAATTTTGACGGAATACTTGCACTGTTTCAAACTATTCTTAGCACGAAGTTTAAAACTAAAATATTTGATAAAACTAGGGTTCAGTTCTCCTCACTGCACTCACTACACCAGTCTTAAAGGGATTATTCAAGTTCACGAGAAAAAATCTAAAAATTTAAAACTTTTATTAAATTTTCAAAATTTTCAAAAAATTTGTACATAAATTTTTAATTCAAAGATATTTTTAAAATATTCAAAAAAAACTAGAACAATTTTTTAACAAATTGTTTTACCAGGACGAGGATTGAAGACGACAGGACGGTACAAGAGGTTCCGGGACCTGTACTGTGTAATAGAAGTGGATCATGTACACAAGGCGAGGACAGTTGTACGCTCAGGAGGACTCAACTTCGACTGGGATGAGAGGTTTCAGCTGGACATGTTGAACAATATGGAGGTGGAGTTCCTTATATACAGCTGGGATCCTCAGCTCAGACACAGGAGAGACATTTTTTCATAAATAGCTTAAACATTCAAAATAGGCTTTCCTTTCCTTTCCTTTCCTATCCTTTCCTTTCCTTTCCTTTCCAGTTAAAAACACAATTTGTTTAATCTTTTTCATTGCTTTATTCATAAACTTTAGGTGTTTTCTGCATAACCTTTTTCCAGTTTTCTGCATAACCTTTTTTTCAGTTTTCTGCATAACCTTTTTTCCAGTTTTCTGCATAACCTTTTTTCCAGTTTTCTGCATAACCTTCTTTCCAGTTTTCTGCATAGCCTTTTTTCCAGTTTTCTGCATAACCTTTATTCCAGTTTTCTGCATAACCTTTTTTCCAGTTTTCTGCATAACCTTTTTTCAGTTTTCTGCATAACCTTCTTTCCAGTTTTCTGCATAAACTTTTTACTGTTTTCTTAATAGCATTATTTTCTGTTCTCTTCAGAAATCAGAAACCTTTTTTTCTTCATTTTATTTCATAACCTTTTTTCTGTTTTCTTTAGAAACCTGTGTTTCCAGTTTTGTTCAAAAATTTTTCCTGCTTTAAATTTATTCTTTTGTCTTCTTAAACGTTTTTTTCTTATTTTCTTCATAGCCCTTTTATCTTATTTTCTTTTTAACCCCTTTTACCTTGATCTCTTCTTAACTTTTTTGTTTTATTTTTTTTTCATTTTTTCCTTGTTATTCCTGTTTTCTACGTAAACCTTTTTCCAATTTTCTTCATAAACTGTTAATTTTTTCTGCTCTTTTTCTGAAAAGACCGCCTCTATAGATTGTGTTACCGAACCTCGCTGCGGCTCGGAAACCTGTTTTCTTCAGGACAAATGTTCCGTCAGATATCTCTCCGTCTTCATCCTGCAGGAATATATTTCATCTATAGGGTTCATCCACCCAACCTTACTTTGATGGGGGGAGGGGGGTATAATCAACTACAAATCCTGTAAGTTTTTAAATATTTTCATCTCCATTTTAAAATTGTCAAAAACAGTCATGGTCAAACAAAAAAGTATTATATAGCAAGTACAAAAAATCTACATTTTTCGAGTGAAAATTGTTTCCAAAATAAGACTTTCTATACTTTTGACCATGTACCTCTAGTATACCGGGATAAGAATATGCAAATAAAGCCTTATTCACCTAAGAAAGAAAGGAAGGATTGCTCAAGCAGCTATCAGAAGAAAACCGGGGGGGGGGGGGGTTTAGCGCATTTTAGGGTTCGGTCTATGGTTTACATAGATAAAAAAGTATAAACATCCTGATTCCAATTCATTTTGAGAACATTCTTTTTAATAACCAAAAAATAACGGTGTACAGTTTTTTCCTCCACTGTTTATGTCTGGAAAATATGTAGAATACTTTTTAAACTAACTTAAAGTTGTATATATTCGGTGCCGGCTGCTTAATAGCTTTTTAAATTTATCTTGGAAAGATTTAATACAAGTTTTATGTGTGAAAGAATGAGCTATTTTTAAATCAAAGGTTTATACGATCCATAGACCTGGCATTTATCATTCAAAACCAGGAATGATAAAAGACACTTTTCCACCTAAAACCAAATGGGTATTCTACCTTCTATGTTTACCTCAGAAAGTACGGTGTTGAATGTTTTTAATTATTGCCTTGATAAATGATTTAACAAAGAAAATAAACATTTTAAGAAGCAGGGAATCATAAATGTATGGAAATAGGCAGTATCAATTTTGTTCAGTTGTCTCTGAAGTCTCGTTTTTTTGTGGGTAACTCTGTATTTTCAAAGTATTATAATCTCTTAGCCGCATGAAAATAAAACTTTCCATGGTGAAAAAAGAGTTTAGATAATTTCGATAAAAAATTCTGTAAACCAAATTTTAAAAGTTCAAATTGAAGATTTAAATCTTTTCTGGTGAGAGTAGTTTCTTGGTTTCTATAAATTACAATTTGCCGGGTTTTTTTTCTACCAAGACTATTCCTCTTCATTCCGAAAATGTTTAAACTTTGCACTCTCTGTAGTCTGCAAACAAGAGAAAGACAAATTTAGACAGAAGGGATTCTATGCACCAGAAAACCCTAAAATCTACATTTCGAATCTCCATTGTCTGGTGTATTTTGAAAAATCAACTCTTCATTGGGGGTTTTAGGCGTGATTTCAAGTGACCCTCCATGTCCGATTTACAACAGCACCCTCCGTACACATTTGTCTGTTAAAGTAAATGACATATATTTTTTTCCTGAGTGCTGATTATATTTAATTGTGGTTTCTTTCAAAAAGTGACTCAAGGATTTATGCTGTACTGTATGAAGGCAATTGTAAGAATTTATCACTTTTTACGAACATATCTTCCTCAGTGTTACTCAGATAGAGTCATTTCTAAAATTTTAAACCTGAAAAATAGAGGGTAACTTAAAGTATCGCATGAAATTAATAGAGTGTGGATAGAATCAACAATAGGGGTTTTCAAATCAATTAAAAGCAGTTTGTACAGCTGCTGTATACTAGAGTTAAAATATATGTATGTACAGGAGTGCTCTACCTCACTCTACGGTACACAACTCTGAGAGAAGCGTACAACAGGAAAGTTATCCTCAATTAAACTTCAGACAGTTTCTTCTTAAACTGGATTAATTCTGACGCCTAAAAAGTCAAAAAGTTGAACAGATATTTTACCCAAATTATCTGAGATTTTCATCTTAAAAAAGTCTGAAGTGGGAATTTACTTTCAAATCTTTTAAAGAACTACTCTTAGAATCTTAATTCTTAAAAAAAGATATTTTATCTAATTGTCTATTACTTCTAAATCTATATTAGCTATAATTATTAAAACGTTAAACATTATTAGATGCAAAATCTATTAAAAAAACTTTTTTATCTATTAAAAAGGAATTGAGTCTTTTCCAAAAACTCTGATTTTCCAATCCCTACATCTTTGCAACACAATATGACTGACCTTAGATATTTAAAACTTTGATTTCACATCAAATTATCTGAGTTTAAAATATTAAAGGTCTACAACGTCAGGTTTGAAAGATATAAGGATCAGTAAAAATGAATTTGTGGCGAAGACTCATTTCCTTTTTCATATTTTTATCCCTTTGAAATTTGAAAACAGAGCTTATCTACAGCTTTGTTAAACTCCATCAGTCTTTAATCAAAACTAAGAAAAATATTTTGCTTGATATGCTGTGACTGGTTCCTGTGTTCCTTGTTAAAATTAGAATATTTGAGAATAACTAAAATATTCAGATCCACCAATACTCTGCAGCCAGGACAACTTTTTGGAGTCAGGTAGTTTTTATGTTTTTTTAATCTGAAAAAAAGAATTGAGTTTTTGCACAAACTCAAATTTTCTAATTCTAATTTTCTTTCAACCTGATGGTGTGAATTTTTTATATTTTAAACTTAGATTATTTAATCACCCAGAATTTCGAGTTTAAAATATTTAAGGTTAACAAAATCGGGTGGCAAATATATAGAGATTAGAAAATTAGAGTTTGTGCTAAGATTAACATGTTTTTGATGTGCTTTTGAAATCTGAGGCTGAAGAAAAATATATTACAAAATTACGTAACTTTGGAGGTTAAAGGTTTATTTTATCATAATCCAACTTATTATAAAAAAAAAACAATCTACATTGAAGATCTGTAGAGTTATAAAAATAAATAATAATAATAATATTAAATATAAACTTTTCTTTTTGTTTATTTTTACAAATTATTCTGTCTATATTACATTCTGGACATACCACACGTATTTAATTTATTCAATATTTGTGTTTTATTTCAAATGTGTTGTAAAGACAGAAAAAATTACCCAAAACCGCAAAATGATTGTATCAGAAAACGGTGTATTGAAAGTCAAAAGAAAAACGCAAAAGATTGTAGATAGCATCCGAAATGGAGAACTCGTTGTGTTTTCCCTAATGAAAATGCCTATTATATATATGCTATTTGAATATATTGATTTTTCACCATGGTTTGCCAGTTTTATATCTAGTTTTTATTTTTAATGAATATCATGGTTTGGTTTAAAAATAACTTTTACTGTTTTTTTTTTCAGTCTTGAAAGTGTACTTGAGCAAGAAAACTCCGGGTTCCTGGTTCCACTGGTCTTACGGCGCTCTATCCTGGAGATAGAGAAGAGAGGATTGGATATAATAGGTAAAGATCCACAGAAACTGTACTTGTTGAACATATGTATTGAACACTGTACAATGTACACTGTTTAAACTCTCACTAGTTCTTCTTGCACTAATACGGGCCCGACAGTTGAATTTGTATTGTACAGTACTGTAAACTAACGCTCGCTGGATCTCCTTATTCTATTGCATAAAACGCCTTATTTGTCTTTTCCAGATCATATTCTGTTCAGATGTCTAAATTAAATCTTTGTTTCGTCATATTTATTGAATTTCAGGTCGTCGTTAAAGTATCCCTGTATAGCCCCTGTATACCCCTGTATAGCCCCTGTATACCCCTGTATAGCCCCTGTAAACCCTTGTACAGCCCCTGTATACCTCTGTATAGCCCCTGCATATCCCTGTATAGCCCTTGTAAACCTTGCCGGATTTGATGTAAAATATTCCGATTCTTTAAATCCGTAAAACTCTTGACAAATTCTTATGAATCATTTTAACCGGTTAAAAGGAATCATAATGTTCCTATTTATCAGATTCTCCGAAAGGTTTGAAGTAGAGATACTTTCTAAAAATAAATTATTTCTGAAAAAACTGAAAGACTAGGTTTGTTAACGGGAAAATAACTAAAAAAGTTTTGTTGAAAGTGATGGTTCAGTTTTGTCTTTACCGCGACTTTGAGTTAAAATTGTGCTCCCAGTCTTTTTAAGATTGAGAAGAAAATTCTCGAAAAGTGTCTTAATATCCTGCAGTCTTAAAAAGCATACGGAGAAATTGTCTCCTGTAATTCCTGTAGTCCCGGTTCCCACGGAAACGAAGAAGTTTTCAGCACAAAATGACCTCAAGCACAGAAAACAAAGTTTTTAGAATAAATGAATATAAATTTACTTTGTATAAGAAGCACTTTTTCCCGTCCGCCTTCATCTTTGCTTAGAAAAAAAAATTTTAGCATAAAAATGCATAAAAAATATTTCTTATATTTTTTGAAATTTAATATTCAGAATACATTAAATGTAAAGTAAGTATATATTCATTAATAAATTACCAAACATGGAAACGTTGACTTCTTCTAAAATCAAGGGTTTACCAGTTAAAAAGTTTTCTTTAAAACAGTTTCAAAAAAGATTTAAGATTTTTTATTTTCAAACTTATTCAGATTTTTAGCTTTTATGTGTTAATCAAATCACTAATGTAAGCCAGAAAAAAATGTCGTTAAACTTGCTTTTTAGCGTTTAGTAAAATGGACGTTAGTTCAGTGGTTCAGAAAGCATCTTTTGATATAAACGGAAATTGAAAAAAACTGAAAAATCGATCTGGCCCAATGATCTTTGTATTACAAATCGCAATTTACAGAATGAGTTGGGATTTTTATAAATACTACTGTATATTTTTTTGCTGGTCCAGAAATTACTAAAATTTAAATATTTACTTTGAAATTAAAAACTTAATATCTGATAACTGAAGTTAATAGAGGTTTAAAATATATTCATTTATTACTTCATGGCATTGTTCAGGTTTGTACAGACTCTGCGGTTCGGAGACTAAGAAAAAGATGCTCCGGGACGCATTCGAACTTGATCCGGAGTCGGTTGATCTGAGCTCTGAAAACGTTCCTGATATTAACGTGATCACGAGTAAGTATCAAACCGTTATCAAGTCAACCAAGGGTTAAATGATCTAAACTGTGAACTCTTGTATTGTGGATATCGAGATCAATGCTTGATCTAGTTTTTATTATTCTATAGATTAATTAATCTTTATTCGATATCCTGCATCGTATCCAGTCAGTGGTTGAAAGGAACTCCGATCAGGGAAGGAACAACTTAAATGAAGAGATTCAGCATTGATCTTCAAATTAAAAGTGTTCACAGTAGATATCGAGATTAAGATATCGGGATTATGAGTATTCAATACAAAAGTTCCCAGCTCTGGTATAGATGGTTTCAAAACATGTTTATTCTAGACGAAATTGTTAATACACATATATTATATAGTTTATAAATTCTCTTCAGCGAAACTCAGTCTTTCTCTACTGAATGTTTTTCTTAATATTAAATTTTATTGTTTTTGCATTAAAATTCCCCAAGTTTGAACAAAATAGCTTTATAGAAGGAAAAAGATTTAGTTTTTGCCTAATCTTAGCCAATTCAACCCTTTTAGTACAACTGCTAAACCGGATATCGGGCTGAAAGCTTTCATGATTGTATTATTCATTCTTTTCTTTCTTTCTTTCTTTCTTTCTTCATTTCTTACTCTCTTTTTCCCGTTTCTTTTCTTCCTTTCTTTCTTCCTATTTTCCTATGTTATATTTAACCTCTAACTTTTGATTCTGTATCCTACTCCTTGACTAAACCCTAAAACTGAACCAAAATTCTATACTCTGATTTTAATTCAAGATCTTTGTACTGATCCCATGATCCTTAATTCTGAACCCAGATCCTATACTCTGATTTTAATTCAAGATCTTTGTACTGATCCCATGAACCTTAATTCTGAACCCAGATCCAACTCTGATTTTTATCCAAGATCTGCTGCCCTGATCAGGATCATGAATCCAGCTCCCGTATACTAATTCTGAACCCGGATCCCGACCCTCATCCTAAGCCCTGATCTTGTCCCCTGATTTTAAAGGGATAGACCGGCTATGTAAGATGGTTAAACTGAGTATGCAGTGGACAAATTCTTTAGGATTCATTTGAGAAATATAAAACGTTTCCACGCTCTATAATTACTGAGTTTGAGCGCAAAGTTGAAGTTCAAAATCATGAATTTGTGTGGGTACCTTTTCAGAATCGGTTTTAATTAGATGTTTAGGAACATATTTATCAAAAGAAAGGAATTGAGTCTTAGCCACAAATTCAATTTTTGTAATCCTTATATCTTTGCAACCTGATGATGTACACCTTTGATATTTCAAACTTACATTATTTGATCTAACAGCATTCATAGTTTGAAATATTAAAGGTCTACAACATGGGGTTTCAATGATGTTGAAATTAGAAATCAGAGTTTGTGGCAAAAACTCAATTCCTTTGTCAATAAATCGAAGTTAGAATTAATCATTTCCTTTTTCATAATCATATTGAATTTTTATTTTTTCTATGAATTTGTTCGCAGATTTCTTCAAATTCGCCAAATGTCGTCTTTTTGATTTAAAATTCCAAAAAATCTGCAGAAAATCTTTGTGATTAAAGAGAGATTATAGAAACTAATTATTGAATACGATTACTTTTTTGCGATGATAAGAGTTATTTTTTATTTTTTTAACCTGTTCCAAAACAACTAATTAGTTTACTGAAGAATTTTTTAACATCTTTTGTCGTCGTTATTTAATAATTTAAAAAAACGATTCTGAAAACGTATTCACCCAAAAGTACGATTTTGAACGTTAAATTTGCGCTCAAACTCTGGATTTACAGATCTTTAAAAAGTTTTATTTGTCAGAAATGAATCCTAAAGAATTTGTCCACAACACTGCATACTCAGTTTAATTACCTTACATAGCCGGTCTGTCCCTTTAAACCCTGTTCATGCAAACGTGGACTGAACCTCGATCTTGTACGTAGATTTTAACCAACCCAAATCACGTACCCTGATCCACACCCCAGATCTTGTACCCTGATCCTTGAATTCAGTTGATGTATCCTGCATACCCTGAACCTGAACCCTAATTGTTAAGGTTTACTGAAAGAATATCTCCGTGAGCTACCTGAACCCGTATTCTCCTCCTGCCTATACCAAATGCTAGTTGATGCTGTAGGAGTGTTCCTTCCCAATGATCCAGACGGAAATGCGAAACTAGTATTTTCAATTCTAGACTGTCTTCCAAAAGCTAACAGAGTAAGTGGAGTTCAAGTTTAAACCTTGTGTTCTTAACGGGACTGTGGGAGTAATCTTATTTGACCTTCCGCTTGAAGACTGGCTGGTCTGATTCACAATACTGACCTTATAATCTCTGATTTATCAAGAGATGACGGACATAATCCATGTTTATCTGCAATTGCTGAACTTCTTGTTTACAAGCTGTTTTATATTTCAGAAATATTAATATTTACTTTCTAAAAATCGAAGAAAATTAAATATTTACATTACAATTTTTGAAAAACTCGTTGGATATTATACTCGGGATTTCAGAGAAATATCACTTCAGCTGTGGTGAGTTCACAGTGTAAGCTAACTTACACTCCAGTTTAAAGGCAATTGGAACAATATTTTAGAGATAAACACAAGGTTTTCTCAAGCAACAAGGGTCTGTGAAATTAAGCTTACAGTCTCCTTAATTGTAAATATAAGGTTAGGGTTTGTATACAGATTACATGATATCTTTGTATAATGCACATATATGTGTGTATGTATCAGGTTGCCAGGAATACATTAAATAGAGATTAACTTGATCAGTGAACATCTAATTATGGAATCTATTATCTGTATCCTTTGTACTCATTTAAATCCATATACTACTAGTACTATACTACTAAAACAAAATAGATATATGTACTACTAGAACTAACTATATCCATGTCCTACTAAAAAAAATATATCTATGTACTAATAGAACTAACTATATCCATGTCCTACTAGAACTAACTCTATCCATGTACTACTAGAACTATCTATATCCATGTACTAATAGAACTAACTATATCCATGTACTACTAGAACTAACTATATCCATGTACTACTAGAACTAACTATATCTATGCACTACTAGAACTAACTATATCCATGTACTACTAGAACTAACTATATCCATGTACTACTAGAACTGCCTGGTACAGCTACTGGATCATCTAGCCGGAGTAAGCTGTCAAGCAACTAGAAACAAGATGAATCCACACAACCTAGCAATATGTTTCGCTCCTGTTCTTATGTTGGATACAAGTGATTCTTTAGGAATTCATTCAATTATAAATCCTAAATTTTTCAAGGAGAACGTCGTGTAGTATTTTAAGAAGACAGTTTTTTTAGTTGGACGATAGATTATAGGATAAGTAATATTTCTGAAATATTTCACTTTATTTCATATGGTCTGGTGTTTGGGAGAAGATAGGTCATGTAAGCTTAAGGTTAACAAGAAAAGATCTGTCATGCAGAGTTACTCCACAAAATATGAGACGTCAGACTCGACTTGACGGTATTTGTTTTGTCTATTATTGTCATTTATGGTTTCAAACAGTTTCAGTTTATAGTTGGAGTATCATTCTTTGGAGCTATTCCTGCATAAGCCAAGTCTCTCGGATTTATTCAACGTTATGTATAGTTTAGAGTGTAGAGAGGGTTCGGGCCCGTTTTTTTAAGATAAGGTTATATTTAAAGAGTTTTTTAATATAATCTTTAAAAATTTAAATAAAATCAAACGAAATTTCTGCAGATTTTTTATTGTTCATAAATGAATTTTCAAAATTATCCAGGAAAATTTTTTTTCTATGTACTCTTTTATTCTTTAACAACATTAAAACTACCGACTTACAAAACGTTTTCCCGCAAAACGTTTCCCCGAAAAACTTTACCTGCTACAAAACATTTCCTCCACAAAATGGCTCCTGACACAAAAAGTTCTTGCTACGAAACGTTTCCTCCACAAAATATTTCCTGTTAAAAATCGTTTTCTTCTCTCCTGCTACCAAATGTCTCTTGTTACAAAATGTCTCTTGTTACAAAATGTCTCTTGTTACAAAATGTCTCTTGTTACAAAATGTCTCTTGTTAATGTCTCTTGTTACAAAATGTCTCTTGTTATAAAATGTCTCTTGTTACAAAATGTCTCTTGTTACAAAATGTCTCTTGTTACAAAATGTCTCTTGTTACAAAATGTCTCTTGTTACAAAATGTCTCTTGTTGCATAAGGTCTCTTGTTACAAAATGTCTCTTGTTATAAAATGTCTCTTGTTACAAAAGGTCTCTTGTTACAAAATGTCTCTTGTTACTAAATGTCTCTTGTTACAAAATGTCTCTTGTTACAAAATGTCTCTTGTTACAAAATGTCTCTTGTTACAAAATGTCTCTTGTTACAAAATGTCTCCTCTACATTTCATAAATTTCATGATTATTTGTTAACAATTTAATTAATTAATTAAAACAATTTTTACAATATCAACAATTAACGATTCAAAAAAAATACTTTTCAATCGGAAACGATAATTGGAAAATTTAATTTTATATAAACGGGAAACGACAAACCTCTGAAAGTGAGTGAAAAAATGGAAAACATTTTTAGTACTTAGTGAATTACTCAAGCTATGTAAGTTCATTATTTGTTTTAGGATATTTTATGACAGAAAAAAAATTTGCAAAGGAATTGTGATAAAAGAAACATTTTGTTGAAGGTCATATCAAGTTTTGTGGTGGTAATTTTATGTGAGGAAACGTTTTGTGGCGATACATATTATAGAGCTGAAACGTTTTGAAAAGGATACATTTTGGTTAGGAAACTTTTTGTGGTGGAAACCTTTTGTTGTGAATCTTTTTGTAAGTGCTCCTAATTTATACATATATATAGAAGTTATAAGAATGTAGTGAATAAATTGAAGGTTCAATGTATATAGAATATCTGGGTGTAAGATTTAAGTCTAGGTTTGAAAGATATGCAGAGAGCAGAGTGTAGAGTAGGGAGAGCTAGAAAAGAGATCTACAGAGAGCAGAATGTAGAGTAGGGAGAGCTAGGAAGGAGATCTGTAGAGAGCAGAGTGTAGAGTAGGGAGAGCTCGGAAGGAGATCTGTAGAGAGCAGAGTGTAGAGTAGGGAGAGCTAGGAAGGAGATCTGTAGAGGGCAGAGTGTAGAGTAGGGAGAGCTAGGAAGGAGATCTGTAGAGAGCAGAATGTAAAGTAAGGAGAGCTAGGAAGGAGATCTGTAGAGAGCAGAGTGTAGAGTAGGGAGAGCTAGGAAGGTGATCTGCAGAGAGCAGAGTGTAGAGTAGGGAGAGCTAGGAAGGAGATCTGCAGAGAGCAGAGTGTAGAGAAGGGAGAGCTAGGAAGGAGATCTGTAGAGAGCAGAGTGTAGAGTAGGGAGAGCTAGGAAGGAGATCTGCAGAGGGCAGAGTGTAGAGTAGGGAGAGCTAGGAAGGAGATCTGTAGAGAGCAGAATGTAAAGTAGGGAGAGCTAGGAAGGAGATCTGTAGAGAGCAGAGTGTAGAGTAGGGAGAGCTCGGAAGAAGAGGAACTAGATCTGAGTTTAATATAGAAATATTCTAAACATGTACTATAGACTGGATTCAACTCCGCACAAGCTAACATAGTTTTACTTCAATTTATTTCCATCTTTTCTCCGTTAACTTTACACCAAAGATAATCTTACAAAAATATGTATAGTACAGGGTTTCCCATAAAAGATGGTACTTCAGAGACGACTGTATGATAGGTTTTCTTATATTTATGATATCCAACTGTAAACTTGTTTCTTTCTTTGCTAAGACATTCAGTAAGCCAATAAAAGTCTATATTTAAGGCAGAAAGACCTATTTTAAACCTTGAGATCATATCATTTTCAGAAGTTTTCAGATCGTCTTTACAGTCTCATTCTTGTGGGTAACCCTTTACATATGTATTCATTAAAATATTAAATATTAAAAATTCTTGCATATCTGAACAACAAGGTTTTACTGTAACCAAACTTAGCCTAATGTCTAATTCTGAATTGATATTATTGGGAAAATTGGGAGAAACTGTCATTCGGGAAAGAGAAAATTGGGAATTGGTAAAATGTATAATTCTTAATTATATATATTTTTGACGTGAATGCTTGTTTATTGTTTGTAACCAATAAACGTTGGGTCCAAATTTAAATGACCCCAGAGAAGGTTTGCTGCTGGTCAAATAAAAAAATAGGCCTCAAAAAGATTTCAAAAAAACCTATTTTAAAAATTCAAGTAAGAACTTTACAGCTTGATATTGAATGATCTGGGTGTCTAGATGAAGAAGAACCAGGGATAGTGCAGCAGCTACAAATCCTCAAATATCTGATTGAGATCTGGCCAAAGAGTCAAGAGAATCTGTGAAACAAATACTAGAGCTTCCTTCCCTTATCACCAAACAAGCAGCTGCTCAATTTACGGAGCTGCTTAGAATACAGAGCTTCTAAAGAGCTGCTAAAAATATGGAGCTTTTGTATCCAAAGATCTGCTGCGTATTAAAAATTTCTGTATCTGAAAAGCTGCTGAATTCACAGAGCTTTTGGATTTAACACCTGTTAAATCTAAAGCGGTGTTGAATATGCATAAATTCTATATTTCAAGTGATGCTTATGTCTGTATCAGCCTCAGAATCTTTCTAAATAGCTACTGAACATCTGAAGCTTCTGTATCTATGAAAACTGCATGAATATATAGAGTTTTGTATATACAGCGCGTGTATAAAGAGCTTCTGTTTTATATAAAGAACTTTAGAATATATACGGAGCATCTGGATCCAAAGAGCTTCTAAATCTTCAAAGCTTCTCACTAAACAGAGATTCTAAATTCTAAAAGCTTCCTAATTGAAAAACATCTGATAATGAGCTGGATTGATGGACTTAATCCTTAATCCATTGGAGCTAAGGTACTTTGAATCTGAATCTCCTTTGGAGCTAAGGTCCTTTGAATCTATATCTCCTCTGGAGCATTCCTTTTAATTTATATCTCTTTGGAGCTAAGGTCCTTTTAAACTAAATTTTATTGGAGCTACAAATGTACTTTAGAGCTACATGTTCTTTGAATCGATTGGTCTTCTATTAGACCTATAGAGCAAAAGGTACTGTTGCGCATTTAGGTCCTTTGATTTTTTAGATCATATGGATCAATAAGTCCTTTTAAACAATAGTTCATTTGGATCAATAAGTCCTGTGGATTTACAGGTACTTTGGAGCCATCGGTCCTCATAATATATGGACCTTATAGAAATTATGTACAGGGTAAACCATGAATGAAAAACATAAAAATGGTCTAACATTATATTAAAGATTAGTTCAAAGTTAAATTTTATCCTTTGCCTTGAAAGAAACAACATAAAAGCTGTAGAAAACTGAGAATATAAGATGAAACATTAATTTCCGTGCTGTAGACGTAGTCTCATTTTTGTGTGTATCCCTGTATCTAATTTCGTTTAAGTTCCTGGTTGGCTTGGTTCCATGTAGTTCCTGGTTGGCTTGGTTCCATATATGTAGTGCCTACTAAGCTGGACTAGACAATAACAAAGCTTTGGGATTAGAAGGATCTAGAAATATCCATTCAGCGCTCAGAAAGCAATCTGAGCTGGAAACTTTTAAATGAACGGAATGGATTAAACTCGTGCGAATCTCCGAAGACCAAAAATGTTCGATTTGGCCATGTAGCTTAGTTCCAACGCATTCAAAAGTTCCAGCTCTTGTTTAAAATCTTCAGAAGTTTTTGAAAATAAAGAATCGGTGTTTAAAGATACAAGAAGTATTAAACATTGTCTAGGAGTATAATTCCTTCACACAGTGCCCTAAACTAGTATTTACTACTAGTTATAATAGTAACTATCTATGTTTACAACCTTCTCTTGGAAGATGTTGATACAAAACTTTAAAAGGGTGCAAATAGCCTGGATGAAACATGGATGTAAAAATTTTAAAATTAGTTTTTAAAAGTTAGAAACCATCTTGGCTCAACGACCAATAATAGATGAAATTTAACAAATTTTAAGTTATGCTGCTAGCCTGATACCCTTTAATAATTTACATAAAGATTGTCATAGTTTTATCCATATCATTTTCAGCTCTAAAACTGCCAGGATATTTTAGAATTCACTCTTCCTATCTCTCTAAAAGCTCTCTGTTATATTTGAAGTTTTTGTAATGCAAACAAATTCTTAATTCTGCTAATCATCGGATTTTCTAATGCAATCACACACAATCAGTCTTGAACAAATATTTCAATTTTTAATAATTTTAGATGTCGTCTTTACCGACCGACAGTGTTTTAAAACTATTGAAATGCCGTGTGCCAATTGTTAGGACTCACCCTGTATACATTAAATACTAAAAATATTGATTCAAGACACAATTGTATTTGTTTTCTTAACAATTTTATTTCAGAAAATTTAAAAAAAGTTTAAAACTTCAAAATTAAGTTCCATTGTTGTTTAAACTTTATTTAAGTTTAGTTTTTATTCGAACATTTCTAGAAATTTTCTGTTCGCCTTTTGGCCTTGTTAACAATATACATGTGATGGATTCGACTTGTTACATATCTTAGTAGTATTTGCACAATTTTAAAATTAAGATTTATTTATAAGAACTTTATGTAATTTCTTCATGGTTAGAAACCACAATATAGACATGTTACATAGGAAATCTACATCATTTAGAGTTTTTTTTTGGTTCTAAGGTTTCCATAGTTTCCTAGGGTACCTGGAGTTCTTGGGGCTTATGGGTTCTTTTGCTGATGTCCTTCTTTTTCTTTTAAAGGTTTTTGGGACACGCTTGGAGTACTTGACACGCTTGGAGTACTTGACACGCTTGGAGTACTTGACACTCGTAAAGTTCTTGGAATTATGTATGTCTTGAAACTCTTGGAGTTCTTAGGTAATTTAAGATTCTCAGCGTTTCAAAAAAGGTTCGGATTGTTTAGGTGCTCAAGTTTCTCAGGGCTTTTAGAATTTACCAGGTTCTCTGTGAGTTTCAACTTTCAACGTTATTCATGGGTTTCATGATCTCAAGGTTTTCCAGGTTCTCAGCAAACTAGGGGTTCTCATGGTTCTCAGGTTTTTTTTTTGGCATTTTTGGGGTCCGGTACTCAGGATTATCAGAGTTTTTCTTGGAACCTTATAATTTTTAGGGTTAAAAAGTTCTTGGCATCCCACTATCTTAATTTTTTGGAATTCTTGGGGTTTTCAAGGTTCTTAGGTTCTCAGGGGTCAGTAAGAATATTGCAATTTTCAGCAGAGTCTTTTAAAGGATTTAGACCAAGGATATGCTGTGGAAGTCCAAAGAACAATAACTGTAAGGGAGTTAGACCTTGGATATGATGTGGAAGTCCAAAGAACAATAACTGTAAGGGATTTAGACCAAGGATATGATGTGGAAGTCCAAAGAACAATAACTGTAAGGGATTTAGACCAAGGATATGATGTGGAAGCCCAAAGAACAATAACTGTAAGGGAGTTAGACCAAGGATATGATGTGGAAGTCCAAAGAACAATAACTGTAAGACACACCACGGACCCATCTCACTGAATAAGTTGATTTTGCCCACATAGGGTAAGACTTTAATGACGACTGAAAACTACTACAGATGTATTTGTGTAAAATGATAAAATTTGGCTTTCTGTCTTTTTGCATTAAAACGTATTGGTTAATGAGTTTGAAGTGTGGAGAACAAATGCACAGCTTGAGTGAAAAGACATACACTAATTAAATTCCGTACAAGTGGTCTCTGAAGTCTCATCCTTTGTGGGTAACCCTGTACTATGAAAACAAAATCAGTTACACATAGGATTGTTTTAATGTTACCTCACTATAGTCTTACATTTTATGGTCCCCAGTTTACTAAAAATTCAAAACCATTTTTGTTCTGCTAAAAACTCTTCAATAAGAGGAGTCACATGGTTGAAAACAAGATTTTATTAAAACGAGAAGTTTATTTAAATTTGACATTTGAGGATTATTGTATCAATCTTCACGGTATTTTCAATGATAACCAGAAAACTCTGGATTAGGAAGTCCGGAAAACTCTGGATTAGGAAGTCCAGAAAACTCTGGATTAGGAAGTCCGGAAAACTCTGGATTAGGAAGTCCAGAAAACTCTGGATTAGGAAGTCCAGAAAACTCTGGATTAGGAAGTCCAGAAAACTCTGGATTAGGAAGTCCAGAAAATTCTGGATTAGGAAGTTCAGAAAGCTCCGGATTAGGAAGTCCAGTAAGCTCTGGATTAGGAAGTCCAGAAAGCTCTGGATCAGAAAGTCCCGAAAACTCTGGATTAGGAAGTCCAGAAAACTCTGTATTAGGAAGTCCAGAAAACTCTGGATTAGGAAGTCCAGAAAACTCTGAATTATGAAGTCCGGAAAACTCTGAATTAGGAAGTCGTTTATGTAGACACAAGTTATGACTTTAAATAGTCCGATGAACATAAGGCACAGCAACTGTGCAGTGTAAACAGACCCAATCTACCTAATAAGTGATTTGATAACTTCCAAAGGTTGAAAGCTCTCATGCAAAAATCGTTGAGAGTTTTGCCCATTTCTTCTTAAATAAAAACTAAAACCCCAGTTGTAGACGACCATCGATATTTTAAACTATAAATTCTATAGCTTGATCAAATAGAAAAAGTATGAAATAGTTGCGCCCGTCAAGTCGCCTGAATATATAGATTGATGAAATGAAGATAGAGTTTTTGATAACAGTACTGACTATTACCTAAGATTAATACTAGGAAGGTCATAAAGGTTTTAAACGATTCTACAATTTTTCAAAATAAGACGACATTTGAACCCGACTTGTTGATTACATTATGGTTGCTACTTCCAATTCCATACTCTTCATACTTGCAGAATAGAAAGGAAACTTTAAACTCTTTAAATCATTTCATGCAAAAGGAATTGAGTCTTTGCCACAAACTCTGAATCTCTAATCCCTACCTTTGCAAGCATTACTCAATATGCTACAGGGTGTCCCACGAAACATGACAGTATGCAGGACGACTTGAATGTCGTCTTGATTTTTGATATAATTTGCTGCGTTTATTTGTCAATCTAATTTTAGAAGTAAATTTCTAGAGATAATAATCAAAACATTTCCCTTGTCCTGCCATTTCCAAAATGTGGTCTGCCTTTTTTGTGCTTTCAATATTGCCCGAGATATGAAGAATTTCGATCAGATTTCGACAATTTTGCTTTTATTTAACAAAATTGAAATCTGAACCAAACTCTTTATATCTTCGGTAATATTGAAAGCACAAAAAACGCAGACCACTTTTTGGAAATGCCAGGGCTAGGAGAATTATGTGATAATTGTATCAAGAATCATACATGTTAAAGTAGATAGAAGACTAAATGTCACAAATAAATTCAAATACCAAAGACGACTTTCAAGTCGTCTTCCTATTGTCATGTTTCGTGGGACACCCTGTATGTAAAGAGCGTCCTTTCCTATGTCACATTCGATTATCTCCAAGCTTTAACGCCAATATACGCACATAATACTCGAAAAACCTAATATTTTCTGCAAGAAAACTTTTATAAAAACCTTTTACATTTTAAAAATGATTTATTATTTTCACGTTTTCTGATTTGTCCATAAAATCACAATTTTGAGCTATACACGATCTAATATGATGTGGGACACCCTGTAGATCTTGTAGATATGATATTTCAACTTATTAATTTTGTCATATAAAACAGTCCAAGTTTAAAATACATAACCAGGTTTTAAAAATATAGGGATTAGAAAATAATATGTAGTTTCTGTTGAAGTTAAAGCTTTCTAGTATTAATGCAATCCATCATGATTGATATATTAATATCAATCACAAATTCTTTTCAATGAAAGCTCCTAATCTATTGCTGAAAGGAACTTGTAAGCTTAATTCCAGGTGACCTGTCAATGCAAGATTGCAATACCCAATATAACCCCTAAAAACTTCGACTGATCACTTTCCAAAACGGGCAGAAATCATGTTTACTTTCGAATTTTTGGAAACCATTTTTAATATAATCATCGCTATTCGCATTTAGTATATATTTTTAAAATCTCTATTTCTAATGAACAATATTTGTGGTTGGTGCCTTTACAATGCCAAAAAAAACTTAAAAGTAATAAAAAAGTCTGTTTTAAATAATAATACTGTAATACCATTTGAAATATTGAGAAAAGAAGACGACATTATTGGCCTGTCTACTTATTCTATTGCAATATCAACAGGACTAGTGATCAATTGAACTAACGTTCGTTTGGACTATTTTTTTTTATTTTTATAACGTTCAAAAGGATTATATCTATAGTTCAGCTAAACAGAAATTTCTTTAGTTAAACACATTTTTTTATTTGATCTCGTCCTTGAATATAAAATTTTATTTAATTTTTGAGATAATTTCTTTGCCGAGCGCTGAGGCCAGAACAGGCTAGATAAATCAGTAACAACGTTAAATTAAAAAATAAGTCTACTTTAAATTTATTAAGTTTGTAGCTTTAGATAACATTTTTATACAACCAACAACATCTTATGAATGGTGGAGAACTCTGTACCGAGATATGAAAAAGTTCTAAAGAGAGTTGCCATAAATCACTCATGACTCTTCTTCCTTGTAATGATAATTAAATTAAGTTATTTCTTTATTTTAAAAATATAACATAAACGGAAATTATTTAGTTAGCAGAAGTATAAAAACTATAACCTCGTTGATAAAAAACAATGAACGTTTTGAAAAACAATATAACTATGGCCATCCTATACCCCCCTTTCATTTTTCGCGAACACTCTCATTTAAGACTCTGTTACCTGCAACTGGAGTCCATATTTGGTTAATCTGCAGAATTGTAGCTTCGCAGACCTCTATATATTCAAACCAACATAAAATCTTTATAATTTTTAATTATTCTTTAATCCTTACCTTTTCTATTTGATTTGTTCTCTACTCTCCCAACAAGTTGGTGGAGTCAGCTGATTCGAGGGCGGCCATTTTACATTTTTTTACTTGTCATGTGTACTTGTGCAGTTTTGTGATGAAATATGAATGATAGAAATTGGATGATTCGATGAATGAAAAATATAAAACAAATAATAATGGATTTGAGACTTTGACAAAAATTCTAATCTATTTCCTATATCTTTGCAACCCAATATGAAGTATGTTTGCTCAAATAATCTAAGTTTGAAATATCAAAGTTGTACACCATCAAGTTGCAAAGATAAAGGGATTAGAAAATTTAAGATTGCGACAAAGACTCATTTTATTTGGATGAGAATGAAGGCTTTAACTCACCTGAAGGTGAATCACAGGTAACAGTGCATTTTAAACCAGTGCTTGCTCTTTTCGCGTCTAGATTGATCAAATTTTTTTTATATTTTAAAATTTTTTAAGTTTAAATTTTTAAAGGGATAACTTATTATAACTGAGTTTTTACAGTTTTATGTCATGACTATTGCATGATTGCAATGTTTTAAATTAGCTACAATAGGAAATTGTACAGGGAGTTCCACAAAACTGAAAAGTAGGAATAAGACTTGAGTGTCGTCTTTGATTTAAAAAAAATAATTTGCTAATTCGTTAGTCTACCTTTACTTTTACATGTATGATTCTAAAAAACAATAATCCCAAAAATCTCTGAGTCCTGGCATTTCCAAAATGTGGTCACCTTTTAGCGTTTTCAATATTACCCGAGAAATAAAGAATTTTGTTAAAGTTTTAACAACTTATATTTTATTTAATAAATTGAAATCTGAACAAAATTCTCAATAATATTGATAACTCAAAAATGCAGACCGAAAATTAGAAATGTGAGTAATTTTGTAATTATTAACTCGAGAATTAGGGTTTCAAATGTGCAATGCCGCAAATTATAAAATTAATTCAAAGATCAATGACGACCTTCAAGCCGTCTTCCTACTGTTAAGTTTCGTGGTACACCCTGTAGGCTCAATGTATGCTAATCAAAATACCTGAAACAAATTGAATTGAAAAATCTCCAGTTGGTTTATATTCAATGGGTTTATTTGTGTTACAGAACCTAAAAACAGAAATAAGTTGTAAAAAACAGTATTCATCAAAATAAAATCAAAGTTTAAGCTCTTTTTAAGAAAATTAGCATCTGAATTTAAGAAATCTATATAGCACCAAGTTCGATTAAAAAATTCAAAAAAAACGTATGCAAATCCCTACTTACAGGTTTAAATGTTAAAATCCCTAAAAATATTATTATTGTAAAGAAATATAAAATTAATGTCATACCGTTTGTTCCCCATAGAATCCTTAATGAGAAGATAGTCCCCTCGTGTGCATCCTCTAAATCCAATTGTGCTAAAACTTGAACAGCTGATTGAAGCCTGCTCACACGTGGTCAGCTGAAACATGGAATGATTAAAATTTTAAACCTGCTGAAGGAATAATAAAAATAAAAATAAATAAAGCGCAATGCAAACCTCCCAACTGCATTGTACAAAAATAATGAAGACCAAATAAAATGTCTCGTTAGTGACTCAAAGAAGTTCGTTGTAAGATTTCGATTCTGCTGGAGACCACTGGAGGGATTTTATTTTCACTGGAGGGGTTTGAAAAAATGCTTTTTAAAATTTAAAACTTTACGCAGGGTGATTTACATTCCACTGGAGGGACTCAGATATCTTTCCAGGGTGGTTATAATTCCACTGGAGGGATTCAGAAATCTTTCCAAGGGGTTTATTTAATCTACTGGAGGGATTCAGATATCTTTCCATGGGGTTTATAAATCCACTGAAGAAATTCAAATATTTTCCATGGGGTTTATAATTACACTGGAGATATTCAGTTATCCTTCCTTAGAATTTATGATACCACTGGAGGGATTCAGAAATCTTTCCAGGGGGTTTATCAATCCACTGGAGGGATTCAGATATCTTTTCACGGGGTTTATGATTCGACTGGAGGGATTCAGATATCTTTCCAGGGGGCTTTTAATTCCACTGGAGGGATTCAGATATCTTTCCAGGGGGCTTATAATTCAACTGGAGGGATTCAGATATCCTTCCAAGGGGTTTATAATTCCACTGGATGGATTCAGATATCCTTCCTGCGGGTATATAGTTCCACTGGATGGATTTAGATATCCTTCCGAGGGATTTATAATTCCACTGGAGGGATTCAGATATCTTTCCAGGGGGTTTATAAATCCCCTGGAGGGATTCAGAAATCTTTCCAGAGGGTTTATAAATCCAATGGAGGGATTCAGATATCCTTCCTATGGGTTTATAATTCTACTGGATGTAAATCACCCTGCGTAAAGTTTTAAGTTGTAAAAAGCATTTTTTCAAACCCCTCCAGTGAAAATGAATTCCCTCCGGTGGTCTCCAATGGAGTCAAAATCTTACTACGAACTTCCGTGACTCCTGGTTAGTCTAACTCTTCTTAATACCATTTTTGTATTTTTTAATAATTATAGGCTTTACGCCCCTCTTTTCAGTTAATATCTTAGCTTTAAACATTTGTTTTTAAACATTGACTTAAGATTTCGCAGATTTTTCTAGTTTAATCAGTGAATTTCTAACATTTTTAAACGTAGCGTTTTTTGGAAATTTCAAGTCTTACCGTGTATGTTGCAGTACACCTCTGTCTGGCCTTGTACCTCCTGTACGCAGTTCCAAACTTATAAGTGGTGTTAGAGGGTAGATCAACAGTATAGTCCTTAGTTCCAGACTTACACAGAACATCTAGATTTTTAGCTCAGTATACTTCTGTTTTGCAAAACTATATAAAAGTATTATGGGAGTTCTTTGTATACCTGAATCAATTCCCATCGTTTTCTAAGGTATCTTTATAATACAAGTGTTGGGGAAACCTTAAATGCAATCGACGTCGTAAATATCAATACAATGAAGACGACTTGTAATTTCAATTTTTGATTTCTACCAAGCCTTCAATCAGCACGGATACACACATAAACCTGGAAACAAGAAGAAGATTCCCTTTGTTCACTTATAAACTTGTAATTTGAAAAAAGCTTGTCAGAAATCAAAATTTAAATGGAAAAGTCTTTTTCATTGTATCAATATAAACGCTAACCCCTGTTTAAAGATTGGAGATTCCAAGGAAAGCACTTGACCAAGTGTTTCAACTGTTTGATGTAACTCAGCAAGATTAGAACATTTTGGAATAAATATTTGCACTTTTTAAATTATTTTAACACACAACAGTTTTGCATGTATTTTTTATGTATCATAAAATGTATCTTGCTCAGCTGGGTACCTGAACCATGAGTACCTTGAGTACATAGAATATACCTAACACCTGGAATCCTTGTGTATTATAAACTGTACAGTCTGTCTAATTAAACATTAGAATTTAGTGATTTTGAAACCGTCTTTGTAAATCATTTTTTTTTTATTTAGCATGCTGATGCCTACTAGGAAAGCTGTAATCCTTAGATGTTTCGTCTGCTAGAGTTAAGAATTTACTTGTTTATGTTTTGATTGCATTCTGTTGTACTGTAGTTAAATGAGAAAGTCCCACTAAGACGATTTCGAATGCGTCTCTTAATTCTCATTTTTTGGACACCCTGTATGTACCTGTATCTGCCTGAATACAAAGCAAGGCTGTCACCAGAAAACACAAGCCTAGAGCAATATGGCCCGACATCCTTAATTTTAAAAGCAATTGAGACTGATTTTCTAATCCCTATTTCTTTGTAACCCGATGTTGTAGACCTTAGATATTTCAAACTATGAATTCTGTTAGATTAAAAATCTAAGTTTAAACAATCAAAAACTTGCACAATCAGACTGCAAAGAAGGATTAGATAACATGAGTTTGTGATAAAAACTTAATTTTGCAATATCCACGATAAAAAGTACTTTAATTCTCGCCTTAAATTTGAATTTTCACAAAATATATCTTTGCATGGTGTAAACCTTTAATATTTTAAACTTTAATATTTGATCTAACAGAATTCATGCTTTGAAATATCTATGGTCTACAACAGGTTGCAAAGAAACAATGATTAGAAAATTAGAGTTTGAGGTAATTAATCCGTTTCTTTCAAGTAAAGTCCACTTACCTTTGGTTTGTTCAACTCTGCTTAGACTGACCAACTAGTTTGCTTTAATATCATGACTATTAATCACAAGTGTTTAATTTCCTTTCAAAAATGTAAATTTTTATTTATCTAAAGAATATTGATATTTGTCACGTAAGGCTATTAAAAAAGTGTACATTAAATTAATCATACACTTTTGTACAGTGAGACCCATTAAACTGTGGAATAGGAAGACGACTGTTAGATTCAAGGCATGGTTTTAAAGAGTACGAACAACACGGAACACAGAAATTGTGCAGTATCCACAGACATCACTTTAAAACTTAATTTTAGACTACTGATACAACTATTTATAACACCATCAAATTCACATACGTTTCCTTAAATGTAGTTTTTCTATACCAGAGTTTTATGGGTCTTATATTGCTATATTATTTCGCAATTTTTTCTTCTAAATAACAAAATAAAATTCAATTGATTTTTTGAAAGAAACTTATATATTTTTGTTTTCTTGTAAACTACGGCCCCGGCCATGTTACACAAATTTGCGTTTACATAAAGCTGAATAGAGGATTTACGTCATACATTTTTTGAATTTCTAACTTTAAACCAAAAACTCTCATCATAACATAGACTTGGATTATGTATACATCTGTATTTGACATCATTGGCCACATTGTTTAACAAAAAAGTGTCATTTATAACTTTACCCAAAGATGATCCAAAAGTTGAAGTGGTAACATTAATTAATTGCATTTATTCTCGAGTTATCAAATATTCTTCTTCTTGTATTCACGATATGGTTTTATTTATCAAAGTTTATGCATCTAATAACAAATTTCTTAAAAAGAAAGCTTTTGGTAAAGGATATGCTGAAAACCTCTAACACTTTATTTTACAGTTTTTTCTGATCAATTTGAATTAAATCAATGGTTTTGCGCAAAAAAGCTGATGCCTAAATTGTAACGGAGTTCAAAGTACATATTTTTAACAAAGAATCTTAGATCAAGGTTGGAATCAATTATCTCTGTATATGGGAACTCTGTTGGGTGTTTACATAAACTAAAACTCCTTTTTTTTTGTAAAATTCACAAACGAATGTAACAGATTCTTTAAGAATTGATATTTGTGCTTTTATGAATAGTTAAAATGTATTTATATGTTTGTATTTTTTTGTGAACATCCTGTGAACACTGTGTTTTTTTACGCCTTAAATCTAACATTGAAATCTAGAAAACATGATATCATCAGTTGTAACCAATCCTTGAGCAGCTCCGGAGTTCCAAACCAACTCTGTATCAACAAAAAGGTTCTAAAGGTTCATCTACACCTGCTGATTCAAGCAGCTCCCTACAGAAGGAGCCTTCTACAGACAGCTCCGTGATGTTCTGAAGATTCATCAACACCTGCAGTTGAGAAGCTCCCTAAATTCCCCTACAGCAACTAACTACACAGTAATAATGCTCCCATATATTCCGTAACAAGTTTTTACCAATAAACATGTTTCAACCCCTACCACGTATCATTTAATTAGACCTAAGGTTTAACAAAATATGGTCTTTAAATTATGACATTTTTTGGCTGCATCAGGTTTCAATTAAGGCTAATGGCTTTGCGCAAAAAAACTGATGCCTAAATATGGTCGTTAAATTATGACATTTTTTGGCTGCATCAGATTTAAATTAAGGCACCCCCTGAGCCGGAAACTTAAGACACTCTCGGAAACCCGGTTTCATGCAAGATTCATGAATGGGTTTTGACAGTTTCTAGCTACCAATATTTTTGTTATGACATATTATCAAAATTACTTACTTTCTTATATTTTTGTTTTATCATCTCAAAATCTACCCAAATGCTTAGACTCCAAAAATAAAACTCTGGAGTGTTGTTCAAGGATACTCTGTTAAATTAACGGCTCTGGTTTAACTTCACTAAACCAGAATTAAGCAAGCAGAAGAGGTTTGAATAAAAGCAATTAACATTATAAAAGCATAAATTTGCATTTCCTTAGATTATTGTCAACTTGTATATTCATCCTTCTATACAACGCTTTAATTACAGATCCAGTCTCAAAAAACATGGACGATTTTAATATTGAAATTTGATAAATACAATTTTCAATTAACAAATATTGACACTTCGAAACTTTATTTTTATTTTTATTATTCTGTATTGAAAATCATGGTGAGACTATTTTAATTTTAATTTTGTATAAATTAAATTTAAGATTTTTCGAGAAAAGTAAAGCACTTGGTTAATTCCACTTTGAAAAGAAACGTCTCATCGTCGTTAGTCAATTTCTATTTTTTTGGGACTCTCTGCATGCATTAAGAGCCTTGTAGGCAGCCAACACATGATAAATACATTTAAATATCTTCTTCTTAAACATTTGCATTAGAGTTAACACAATAAAAAAAATAATGAGTTTAAACTTAGTCAACAATCATTTTGTGCATGCAGTCTAATATCCAATATTTAAGTACGATATTAAAATATTCTTTTGATTATTTCCAACTTTTGAAATTTGTTTAATGTATTCTAAAAGTACGATTCAACTCCATCGATCACTAATATAGAGGCGTACAAGCATGGACACATGGACCAGCACGTACCAGCATGGACACATGGACCAGCACGTACCAGCATGGACACATGCACCAGCATGTACCAGCATGGACACATGGACATGGACCAGCACGTACCAGCATGGACACATGGACCAGCACATACCAGCATGGACACATGGACCAGCATGTACCAGCATGGACACATGGACCAGCATGTACCAGCATGGATACATGGACCAGCACGTACCAGCATGGACACATGGACCAGCACCGGAGAAGTGCCCTTGATTCATTGCCTGATAAAAATCAATTAATATCGAATATATTTGGTAACAAGTGTTTAAACAAATATAATCTATTCAAGGTAAATTGTACACAAATATGTGGTTTAGTCATATTTCATGAATTAAATGAAAAAAAATACTTTAGGGTAGTCACAATCAATATTTCCAACAAACTTTATGAGGAATAGTGTATTGTAATCTATTTGTATCTCAGAGTTAAAAAATATACTGCATTGTATTCACTATCTGTATCTCTGGTATTGTATTAAATATCTGTATCTCTGGTATTTTATTCACTATCTGTATCTCTGGTATTGTATTCACTATCTGTATCTCTGGTATTTTATTCACTATCCGTATCTCTGGTATTGTATTAAATATTTGTATCTCTGGTATTGTATTCACTATCTGTATCTTGGTATTGTATTTACTATCTGTATCTCTGGTATTGTGTTCACTATCTGCATCTCTGGTATTGTATTCACTATCTGTATCTCTGGTATTGTATTAAATATCTGTATCTCTGGTATTGCATTCACTATCTGAATCTCTGGTATTGTATTCATTATCTTTATCTAGCTCTGGTATTGAATTCATTATCTTTATCTCTGGTATTGCATTAAATATCTGTATCTCCGGTAATGTATTAAATATCTGCATTTCTGGTATTGTATTCACTATCTGTATCTCTGGTATTGTACTCACTTTCTGCATCTATGGTATTGTACTAAATATCTGCATCTCTGGTATTGCATTCACTGTCTGAATCTCTGGTATTGTATTCACTATCTTTATCTAGCTCTCGTATTGTATTCACTATCTGTATCTAAGGTATTGTATTAAATATCTGTATCTCTGGTATTGTATTAAATATCTACATCTCTGGTATTGTATTCACTATCTGTATCTCTGGTATTGTATTCACTATCTGTATCTCTGGTATTGTATTCTCTATCTGTATCTCTGGTATTGTAGGTTTTTATCTAAAATTATTCTTGTTTATCTGATCTTCTCCTTGTCCACCCTGCAGGCCCGGGATGGAACGCGAGCAAAAAAGTAGAAAAATTGGTTTATATCTTGTTATATGAAAATTTCATGACGCCAGTTGGGCCAACTTGTTAATTTAAACACCATGGCCAGTTGATTTCTCTTTAATACAGTTAGGGTTGATAAAACCCATTATCTGAAATATACAGGGTTACGGCCTTACAGGATGAGAGTTTTATTACGGCCTGTTGCTCTATATTTTTGACGATTTGAAAGTTAAACTTGGTCTTCAGTCTTGTACATAACCTTTGTATATAAATATAATCTGTAAGGGACTGTAAGCGTAATATCAAGGGACCCTCCAAACAAAGATGAAAATGTCCGTTTTACAAAAAAACTTTCTTAGGTTAAAAGTGTTTCATTCTGATAATTCCTTTATGTTTTCACTTTTATAGAGAAACCACAATTGAAAATAATAAGTTTTCGAAGTTATAAACATTGATATTTATTTCATACTTAGATAAAGTTTTTAAAGGTGCCGTTGTGAATCGGACATCTTTGCATGTAGGTCTGGGTCACTTGAAATTACGCTTACAGTCCCTATAATGCTGGGAAAGAAACTGCAGATTTCTGTACAAAAAAACTGTGTACTGGATATTGTTAAAAGCATATAGTTTCCCATCAGCCTAAAATTTAACTTATAGTTGTGTATGTGATAACGCAAAAGCAAATAAATTTAATTTGAGCTTAAAAGTCAACTCATTAAGTAAAAGAGGTCTGTGTAACTGCACAATTGCTGTCCATCATGTTTAATGTTTATTGGGTTATTTAAAATATTAACTTTGGGTCTTATAGTCGTCTTCTACTGTTCATTGTAATATTTCACGTTTTAGGTTGAAAATATGCATTCAAACTTTAGATGCATATTTTCAACCTGGAAATCCAAATATATAGAAAGCTGTCAAACTTTGTGATTTGTGGTAAAATGGTTGATTTAAAATTTATGAAATGTTTGGTCAAAGAACCAACAATGACAATTCCTAATCGATAATTTATTATTGGATAAAATTATAATTTTTTAAGGTTACCCAGTAAATTCTTGCAATTTCAAACAATTTCTTAAATATAAAAATTCAGGTTTAACCCTAGAAAACATAATTCTTAAATATAAAAATTCAGGGCGTCTTGTTACCTTCTTTCAATTGTCTTTTTAAAAGTTTTTCTGTCAATCTGTTGCCC